CATCCTCACAGAGTCGGACCTTGACATTGCATTTTTAAGCGACATCCGCCAGACCCCGGAGTTTGAGCAGTTTCATTACGAATACTTTTGTCCCCTCAGGCAGTGGTTCGCCTGCAAACTCCGCTGGGTTGGCGGATTGCTCATCGACAAGTGAGAAAGTGCTCGTAGGGTCCACGAGCCCATTTGGGTTTTTGGTTCTGAGAGGATGCTTAAAACTCCGGAGGGATGAAGGGCACCATCATCCTTCTTCTTCATTTTCCAAAAACCAGGCTTGGATCAGGCTCTCCCTCAAAGAACTGAGACCTTTTTCAGTTTATTTTTTCTCTTCAAAAAACACGAAGGAAAACTAAAAGTTAAAAAAACTGAGGAATTTTATGCATTTTTTTTATTTGCAGTGAACGATCTTTATTTATTTATTGTTTTTTAATTACAGAAGGGGAGTTTTTAAATGGTAATTGAGGAAGTTATTTTTAAAAGATGGAAATGAGTTAAGTCAGGATTCAACAGGCCAGCTTCTGTGAAGGATCTGAAGTGGAAATGTGTCTTTTGATGCTAAATCATCCCCATCAAAGGACAAACAGCACGTTAACCTCGTCTTACACTAACAGGAGCAGGAAAAGGGCGAAGCTGAAAGGTCAATGACAGGACAAAAACAGACAGGGTGATTTACCAAATGCCTTTTTATTTAGAAAATATATTCATGACTGTTTAGATCATTTTTTGGTTATTTAAGACAGTTAGACTACAGTGTTACAAAAGCTCCTCTGATGAAAATTAAAGAAGTTTTTAAAACATTTTGTAATGCACCAATAGTGATGTGACCCAGTAATGTCTGGTTCAGTTTGAGGAGTACAACGAGCAGATTTGCTGGCACCAGTAGATAATAGTTCAGATAAATGTCGATTTCTGATGTAATTTTAATAATTAAGTTCTTTGAATGCGCTCAGTTCTCTGCTTTTTATTTCTCTGATTAATTAGCTTTTTTCTCATCAGATTGAAATTCAATGAATTTCAATTATTTATTTTCTTGAAAAGGTTTTATCTATTTTGGTTTCGCATCCTTGCTTGAATCGATGTACCATAATAGTATAACTGCTAGAGTAACAATGTACGTTTTGTACAAATTAGTTTGTTTCCTATTATATTTACATATATATATATATATATATTTACAGTTTTTCCATGTACATTTTAACAGAACTGAAATGTTATAATGTTATTTTGTTATTGAAGATTAAATTATACGTTTTTTAGGGCTGCGTTTCAAGTGAGGTCAGATGCATTTACAGAAATCTGGAAATGATTGACAAAACAGGGCTTTTATCCAGACTCACTCACCAGTTTTCACACCTCCCATCACTCTACCAGCAGTTTTCAGCAACTCACATCTAATAAAGTCAGGATCATCACGATACCGGCACAAATAATCCAGAAACACATTTTCATCGTCAGAAATGTATTTGTGTTAATTTACTTGAAGAGATTAGAGAGGCTACTGTGAACCTGATAAACTGCAAAGACAAAATAACCAATAACAAATATCAGTTAAAGTGCTTTTTAGGGTAAAATATGACTAATTTATCAATTTCCTGTTCTTTGAACAACCTCAGTTTGGAGGAACAAATGATTTCTGACTGGATAGACAAGCAAACAGCTAATGCAGGGTATCCGCGGAGTCTTGAAAAGCATTAAAAGGTGATAAATGAATTTTGGTAAAAGTAAGACCCTTAAAAGGTATTAAAAAGTATTATCACCGCTTTATAAAGGCTTAAATTTTGAAATTATTTTTTTCTGAATTAAACGTCCAACTGTTTGAATCCCTAAAACATCATAAAAGTGTGTGCATTTAGTCATTATTATTTAAAAAAAAACGAACAGGGTATTGTGGGTGCTTTAGGAATTTCCTCTCGGAGCACAAGGGCGGGCAGGGCGAAAGTTCAAAACCACGATGTACACGCTGGTGTTCCCGGTGCGTATTACGAATGCACCGAAATGTTAAAAGTATCGCTGCTCACTGTAAATGGACACACCTTGAGATGGCGGGTGAGGTATTAAAAAATATTGAGAAGGTCTTCAAAAAGTCTTGAAAAGGTATTAAATTTAACTTCAAGATTCCTGCATGTACCCTGTAATGTATGTAAAAATAATTGAGGTTGTAATAAAAGCCTTTTATGTAAACACTATTATGTAAGCCTTTATGATACTCTCAGTTTATTTACTGTATTTATTAGTTTATATAACAGGGACATTGTATATTAACGTGAGTCTTCGCTCCAGGGCTCATTTTAAGCTAAAACTGTGGGCTGCTATGACATTTTTGAGACCAGAGTTGGTTTAAGATGATGGTATTTCATTTTAATTTTAGGCTCGTTTAGGCTAAAACTAGCTAGCTGTAAGTCCATCTGTCCGGCCAGAATTAATCAGAATTTTTCCAAACTGAAACTTTTTCCACAAAACTGCACTTTAGAAAATCAAAACTATCTAAAATTTGCTAAAATTTGACAATAAGTGTAAATTATTTTTTAAAAGCTGAATTGACAGAAAATAAAATAATATTTGATAACATTTATCATATAATTTGGGTCAGGCTTTGGACTCTATTGCCTCACGGCTCCAGGGAGCAATAACAGTCTTGACTGCTGGATTGTGGGTCGTTTATATTGCATGCTACCCTCCTGCACCAAGTACGGGTTTGAGTTTTTGTGTTAAAGCATAGAAACCTGATTTGAGGTGATAGCAAATGTGTTTTTGGGTGAGTTACAAACAAAAGGCACAAAGGACTGAAGATTTAAAATGCAGCTTCTAAATGGGGAACTGTACAGCTTTTTTTAAACCCCCCCATGCAGCTGCTCACTGACGGCCTGATGGTGCTACTTGCTCCTGCGTAATCTGAGTGCATCGCTCCTGGAGAAGTTTTATGTCTAACCACAGAGTAGCACTTTGGCGTTTGTGGCTGGTTCCACTGCTGTAGCTCATTATCTCTCACAAACCTCTCTGGTACGGTCGGCATGCAGAAAGAAATCTGAAAACAAATGGAGCTACTCGTAGAGGAAACCTGCCATGCATTCGGTGCAGGGACTCTAAATTACATCCAGAAAAAAATCTAATGCAAACCTGAAGCACATTTTGGAGCATGGTTTGTGTATTTTTTAAGAGTGTAATTTCATTTTTCACGTTACTTCACTGAGGTTAACACGACTCCTCATCTGAGTCGAGCTGATCTGTTAGACGTTTTTCTGAACTCGATCAGCACCATGTAGCTTCAGCTGTCTCTCTCTGAACATGCAACTTTTTTTTAAACAAACGGCAGCATCATTCAAGGAGCAATAACCAGCTGTAAGAGCAAAAACTTGGCTTGATTTACAAACGTGTGTGTTAGGATAAACCGTCAAATAACGTTTGACCGTTCACATGCTAAACAGCTACTTAACTGCTGCTGCGCACGCTCTGACAATAATGTGACCACTTAGTTACCACTGCTTTCATTAAAAGTGTTTTATTTTGAAATCTGTCATTTGAGACCTCTCCTATACTGTAGATGTTTGTTCTGCTTCTTTCCTGATGATCCATAAAGTGACATTTTGTTCCATGTGCCTGCACCCTAACCTACAATTACCAAAGTGTCTTCAGAGGGAAAAAAATAAATACAGAAACAATTTTTTCTGCATCAGACCTCTGAATCTTTACATGTGAGGCAAATGTTTGAAAATGTCCTAACAACCCCAAACCTCTGTCTTCGTTTCTGGTCATGTTTACATGTCTATTCGAGTTGTTTTTGTCGGTTTCCGAACAGGAGACGACTAAAGATTCGACCAGGCGTGTAACCCTTAAAAGTCAGTGTTGTTATTTAAGGTTTAAAATCATTAATACTGTCAAACTGGAAGATGCATAAGTGGTTTCACTTTAAAGAGGACCTAGAATCTAAAGCAACATTTTTCTTGTTGTTGAATAAAGACAGCTGGGGTAGTCAAAAGTAGCATTGTGTGACCTACTTTTATGTGAATTAGAAAGTTGAAAGAGGTGAGAAAACTTGTTTTGAGAAAGCCTTCCTTAACATGTCATAAGGGAGTCCTTGCTGCTCAAACCTGCATGTCTCCAGTGTCTGAGGCCTTCTGGGGAAAGCAATCAGCTCATTATTATATTCATGTCCTGACCAGGTGGGTTGCTCTTTTCACAGCAAGACTGATTTAATGGCCTGTATCAGGGCTCCTGAAACAGATGAAAGCCAAAAGAAAAATTCTCATGCTTTTAAAAAATTGAAAGCACTGTTTTAGATTGCAACAGGAAGTTGAATCATAAGAAAAACCTGTGACTTCATGTGACTCCAAGCAACTTCAAAAACATGATTATGATAGTATTTTAAAATGTACTTGATTACTGAATTAAAAAACATTTATCACCTCAGAAACTGGAAATTGGATTTGAGGTTCATTTCTGTTTATGCAAAGAACTGACAAACACAATACGCTGGTTTAAAATTTGAATATTTAATATATAAAAATACAATTTTTTGCAGATGGAGCGTTGTTGCATTACTGGGTTGATGAAATTTCATCTGAAGACTGCTTATCCTGCCTTTTCTCCCAGTAGATCCTCCCGCAATGTTGCATTGACCTTAAAAAGTGCACATGCATCTCCATGTCTGGTGGTTGTGCTGTCATCTTTTTTGTTTTATCCTTGGATTGGAGATTACTCTTTAATTGTGTTAAATTTACAAATCTATATATATATATATAGTTATCTGCATAGATCCATGTGCCAAATCCTGTTCTTGTTCAGTCCAATCCATTCCAGGCCCTTGTTTGGACTGTAGGCAACCTTCTGTGCAAGTCGGTATAAAATATTGTTTCTCTCCTATAGTCCCTTGTAAACTGGTGCCATTAAAGAAAAACGAAACAAACTTGAAATAAACATTACATTTTAAAAAATGACGTTATGTTCTTTATTCATGTTTACATATTTTCCCTCTAATAAAAGCAGACCAGTAGGAGAAACCATCGTGAATTCCTTATCTTTAATGCACTAAAGTTTAAACATTTTTACATTTCAAACCACATACAACAGTAAGACTATGTACAACAGCTGTATGAACCAATCAACCAACAGTTCCAGCAGCAAACTGCTAAATGTTTCACTAAAGTTGACATCAACTGGAAAAGGTTCAGCCCTCAGCTCATGTGTGAGAAGGAAGGCTTTAGAAATGGCCGCTGGACGCTTTGAGGTGTGGGGACAGACATGAATCCCGGTCTCCTGCCAGCGTTTCCCACAGAACTCCCAGACCCTCGACCCGCACTTTGAGCTCCACCTCTGGAGTTGGAGGACCACGACTTGTTGCTGCTGTAGCCGCGACTACATCCAATACAAAAGTAATAATAAAGGTCAGATCATTTCAGGAATGACATGTTCTTAAAAAGAAGAGATGCTACACACCCTCTAGCAGAGGAGCCCGAGCTGCTGTATCCTTTTCTTTTCTTAGAATATTTGAAGAACGGGGCTTTCTTTCTCTTTTGTCCCCGAGCAGGCTGATTACAGAAATAGGAAGAGGACTCCAAATCGTCCCTGTCGTCATGTGAGCGGCCTTGCGACGTGTCTATCCACTCGTTTCCCGAGCTTGCAACCTGCTCTTCTGCAGAGATAATTAAACTTTAATATCACGGAACTAAAAAGTAACAGCAGAACGTTGTTTAGTGCTCACCAGGAAGCTGCCACTCTGAGTATTTCTGCAGCACCTGAATGACTTCAGCCCCATACTTCTCCAGTTTGTCCTCAGTCACACCATCGATCTGCAGAAGGACTTCGGGGTCGGAGGAAAGCCTCTCTGCGTGGCCAAAAACAAGGCTCTAAAATAAGACAGCTCACCGCCAGTTTCTACAAGCTTCAATCTTGGTTGTAGTTTTACCAGCAATCTTCTTCATGGTGGCGGTGGAGAAGATGTTGTAGTAGTGAAGGCCGAACGCCTTGCCCAGCTGCTTGCACAGATCAATCAGCTCCATCAGACACTCCTGAACCATCTGCTCTCTCTTCGAGACGCTCTTGGTGACAGCTTTGTGTTTCCTGATGCTGGACGCACTCTCAGTCTCACAGAACTCCACCTGGACGTGACCACATCCAGCTTCAGTTAAATGTCCCCATCAGTACCTGCTCACACTGGCTGTGATCTTTGTTACCTGCATGTGACCAGACAGAATGTTCATGGCTTTTGGTCCAGCAGAGATGTAGACCACAGTCTGACCGTGGTTAGTGACGTAGAGGTCCTCAGCCAGGACGTGATCAATAACCAGTTTCTTAAAAAGGCGGTCCGCATTGTGTCGAGAGTAAGCTGCACCCATCCCAAACATTCCCGTCTGGACCTTGGCAGATTTAGATCCTGGAACAGAAAAAGACGTTTCCCCAACATGAGAACAACTTGGATACAAGGAACTTAAACGCGCCGAGAGACGACAGCACACCGATAAAGATGTCCACAAGCATGTTCAGGGTCAGGCGGTTCTGCTGAGCCGTCTTGCCAAACCTCGCTCCGACTTTCTCGCAATTCTCCTGGACGAACCTCACGATCTTCTTCACATCTTCTGTCACGTCCCTCATCTTGTATTGCTGCGTAAACAAAGAACATCCAAACCTTACCGCCGGTTGGGTTAGTTTAACAAACAGAGAGATGTAAAGACCCCTACGCTTGGTTTGGCGCAGTTGTCACAGCTGACATCTGGATGCTCTTTACAGAAGTTCCTGTTGAAATTCAGCTCGCCAAAGTACGCCAGCAGCTGAATTCTTCTGCACTCCATCACATCCTCGCAGAAGTGCACCATACTGTGGAGGTTATTGTAGTGAGTTGTTTTGGTGTGCCTGTCGCCTTCTTTGTCCACTGACAGAAGAAAGGAAATTGAAAAAAGAAATTTCACAATTAAATGCAATCCTGATTATAAGTAATCCAGAAAATAACCTGGATTAACCACAGTCATTTTGGGTGCAACCAGGATAATCGAAGCTCCTGCCACATACTGCTGATGATTCTCTTGATGCGGTGGACGTCGGTGTAGGAGTAAAACAGGATGCAGTGAGAGACCTCTCCATCTCTGCCGGCCCTTCCCGACTCCTGATAGTAACCCTCCACTGATTTAGGCAAACTGGCGTGGATCACGTAGCGCACATCCGGCTTGTCGATACCCATACCGAAGGCTATGGTGGCACAGATAACCTGAAAAGCAAAACCAGTGAGCACCAGTCTGATTTGTAGTTATAACCCTCTTGTTTAGCATGAAAGGTGTGACCTGACCTGGCAGCCATCTTGATTGATCCATTTGCTCTGCACATGCTCCCTTTCTCCATCACGCAGTCCTGCATGATAGGACAGAGCCAGAATTCCTGCTCTCTGCAGACTCTCTGCCATGGCATCACAGTCGTTACGAGACAGGCAGTACACGATGCCAGAGTCGCCTGTCGCACACAAACACCCCCGCAGTAGAAACTTATTTGATTGTTTCAGCACTTTGCTTATTAGAGTGAAAAAAAAAAAAAGACTTCTGTGTAAAAGCTTTAGGCGTGTAGAGATTTTAGGTTGCGTGATATTTATGGTTCTCTTTAACATTCGTTTCGATGTCTCACTATGGGATACGCCCCTCCGCGGATTCCTCAGAAGCACTTATCTCAATACGCCAATCCCGATTGGCCAGTGACTGTGACGTACGCGTCCCCCTGCTACTATAAGTAGCAAGCGTCCCCACGCACGCACTATTCAATCACCTCTTCTCGCTTCGGTGGTCGCTTATCTCTGAGGTAAGTTAGCTCAACTGTTCACAGACGGAGCCTTCTAATATTCTCTCCGTCGCCGAACGTTAACTTACTGTCCTTCTGTCCTGGCCTTCACCATGGGCTCGGGGCATAATGAGCAGCTTCACACTCCAGTGCATCTGTTCGTTCTCTGCTAACACACCAGTTAGCCTACATGGAAGCCGCTCCTCCCACCAGAGGAGTCGACGGCGCAGGAGCTCGCCTCTGTACCTGTGGGAACAAAATCTCAAGCACAGACCCGCACAAGGTCTGCTCGAGCTGCCTCGGGCTGGAACACACCCAGCTGGCATTGGAAGTCCCCGGGTCATGTGAGAGCTGTGCTTGCTTCAGCCTGAAGAGCTTTCGCCGGCGGCTAGCGCGCCAAGCTAGCCTGTTGGGGAAGGACCCTTGCCTACCGGCCCCTGGGCCACCGCCTGGGGACGCCAGCGAACATGTCCTCCCGGAGCCGGAACCGTGTGCCGAACTCAGCTGGGGCTCACAGCTCGAACCGGCCGGTCCGAGCCACCCCGTCGAGGACGTGTTGGAGTTGGACTACGGAGACGACGAGGGCACCTCGGAACTCCTCATTTCAGAGGAGGACGAGGATGACGACGTTTTTCTCCCCATCGCTCAGGCCTCCATGCCTAGCTTTCCGTCCTCTCCCAGGGATGGAGCGGCTTCTCCGGCCGCCCACCTGGACATGCAGTCAGTCTGCCGACGCGCTGCGACCAGGCTCAACATCCCTTGGCCCACCATGGTCACTGAGGCTGTCAGATCCCGCTACGAGGGAAAGAAGCTGCCTCAGGCCACAAGGGCGGCAAAGCCTCTCCTTCCCGCCTTCCCGGAGCTTCTCAAAGAAGTGAGGACCTCCTGGGACAAACACCCTTTCAGCTCCAGGTCTCCTGTCCAAGGAGCCTCCTCGCTGGACTTCGAGGGGATGGAGAAGGCTGGCATGCTTCGCATGCCGCCGATGGAACCGCTGGTTGCAGCCCACCTGCACCCACGGCTCTCGGCAACTTCCTCCAGGCCTCCCGCTCTCCCCGCGAAGGCGGACCGCTTCCAGTCAGCGCTGAACGAGAGGGCGTACAAGGCTGCCGCCATCTCCGTCCGAGCTTTGAATGTCTCCTCCATGCTCTCGGCGTACCAAGCTGAGCTCTGTGAGGACATGAATACGAAGCCGGACCCGGAGGTGTGGGAGGAAATCACCGTACTGACAGACATCTGCCTGCGTGTGCAGCGCTGCGCGGTCCAGGCCACGGGAAAAGCTATGGGCATGATGGTGCTTCAAGAACGTGCACGATGGCTGAACCTCTCCAACCTCTCTGATAGAGAGAAGGAGGACATTTTGGACATGCCAATCGTGCCTGAAGGCATTTTTGGCTCTGCCCTGGCATCAATGCAGCAACGGTGTGAGGCCAAAAAGAAAGAGGATGAAGCCCTTCATCTCTGCCTTCCCCGTAAGCCCTCACCGGCGCTGCCGGCTCGGCCGAACCTTCCTCAGGCGGCTGTCCGAGCCCAGCCTCAGTTCCGGATCCCAAAGCGCCAGAAGCCTCAAGCTGTCCAACCAGCTCCTTCGGGCTCAGCGCCTCGACCAGTTTGGCCTCAGAGATCCGGCAACCAAGCCGCTCCGCCGCCGCCGGGACAACCCACCCGACCCGGCGGTCAGCAGGTGAGGAAGAAGAAGAGGGCAGCCTGACTGAGTTCTTTCCCTCCGGACGCTGCAGCTGGCAGTTCCCCGTTCGCCAGCTCCTCCTGTTCGATGTTGCCATGGTGCCTCCCCCCCCCCCCCCCCCCCCCCCCCCACGGAACCCCTCCGGCAGAGTCCCCGAGCGGTCCAGGGTGGGGCCAGGACGTGCAGCCGGCTGTGCCGGCTCAAAACACACGTCACAAGCACTCACATTGTTTTTCACAAACATGTCACACTCAAGGAGCATTAAAAAGTTCGCTGCCGCATCCAGACAAGATGTCAAGGGCGCAGCAAAAATCAATAAAAATGTTGCCCATGAGCAGTTTCAGGCGTGGGCGGCCCCTGGCGGACTTGCCCGCCAGCCACGGGTCGTCCCCGTACGCCTGGGCCGTCAAAGCACAAAGCCCCCGCGCATGCGCAGTGGCTGCCACGAGCACCGCTGCCCCACAACCTCTGGAGGGAGCTGCTGCTCCGTGTGTCACGGCTGTGTCACCGCTCTCCACTCACATGGAGGAATGGACAGCGGTTTCTGCTTCGCGTTGGGTGCTGGGAACTATTTCGAGAGGTTACAGGCTCCAATTCGCTTCTGTTCCTCCTCGATTCTCCGGCGTAGTGTTCTCCCACGCCCAGGGGACGTCAGCTCACATCCTTCAGGGAGAAATCTCCTCCCTGCTGGAGAAGGGAGCGATATGCATTGTGCCTCCCGATCGGTCTCAGAGCGGTTTCTACTCCAGGTACTTCCTGGTCCCGAAGCGGGGAGGGACCGGGATTCGCCCGATCCTGGATCTGAGGGCCCTGAACCGATGCCTCAGAAAGTACAGATTCAAAATGCTCACGCTCTCATCCCTTTTGCGTCTGATTCACCAGAACGACTGGTTCACCTCAATCGACCTGAGGGACGCATACTTTCATATTCCCGTGTACCCTCCACACAGGAAATTTCTGAGGTTTGCCTTTCAGGGAGTGTGTTACGAATACACCGTGCTCCCATTCGGCCTCTCGCTGAGCCCGAGGGTGTTTGTCAGGTGTACGGAGGCAGCGATCGCCCCTCTGAGAGGGAGGGGCATTCGGCTGGCCACGTATTTAGACGACTGGCTCCTGCTGGCACGGTCCAGAGAGGAGGCAGCGTCAAACACGCTGGTTGTGATCCATCACTTGTGTGGTCTGGGTTTCAGAAAAAACTGGCAGAAAAGCGCTTTACTCCCCTCCCAGAAGATAACCTTTCTAGGTCTGAATCTGGACTCAGGGGCGTTCACGGCCCGTCTCTCGACACCGCGCGTGAACGCGCTCTCGCTCTGCCTGGCGCGCTTCCGCCTACACAGTTCGGTGCGGTTTGCGTTATGCCTCAGGCTTTTGGGTCTCATGGCGTCGGCTATTTCAGTGGTACCACTCGGCCGTCTACACATGAGAGATTTTCAACGCTGGGTGGCTTCTCTGGGTCTCGCTCCAGTGCGCCACAGAGCGCGCAGGGTGACGGTCTCTGCAGCGTGCGTCGCAGCGCTCCGCTGTTGGCGTCACCCCTCCCTCTTGGCACAGGGGGTGCCTTTGGGGTTGGTTCTCGTGAGGAAAGTGGTCACGACAGATGCAAGCCTGTCAGGTTGGGGGGGGGGGGCTCCTGGAGGGTCGCTCTGTCAGGGGTGTGTGGAGCAGAGAGCTCTGGGGGACACACATAAATTATCTGGAACTCCTCGCGGTCTTTCTGGCCCTGAGGCGCTTCCTGCCTTTTCTCTCCGGCCATCATGTCCTAGTGAGAACAGACAACACCACGACTGTGGCTTAAAATAAACCGCCAGGGGGGGCTGCGCTCCGTGCGGTTACACACGCTGGCACGCAGACTGATCCTATGGTGCAGCAGGCATCTCCTCTCAATCGGAGCCACCCACGTCCCGGGTGTTCTGAATCGGGGGGCGGATCTGTTGTCCAGAGGGACACCCCTGTACGGGGATTGGAGCCTGCATCCAGCAGTGTTGGAACAGATTTGGATCCGGTTCGGCAGAGCCGTAGTGGATCTTTTTGCCTCCAAGGAGAATGCTCAGTGTCCACTGTTCTTCTCCCTGCGCGACCGAGACGCTCCACTCGGCGTGGACGCGCTGGCGCACGACTGGCCACGGGGACTGCTTTACGCTTTTCCCCCAGTGGCCCTGATACCACCCACCTTGCTGAGGGTACAAACCCAGCGCCACACTCTCATTCTGGTGGCCCCATACTGGCCAGCCATGCATTGGGTGGCGGACATTTTCCAGCTCCTGGAGGGCCAACCTTGGAAACTGCCGCTTCGCAGGGACCTGGTGTCCCAAGCGGGAGGCTCGATCTTCCACCCTCATCCAGAACGGCTGCCCCTGAGGGGTGTGGGCTAGTGTCAGCAGAGCTGCCCCAGGCAGTCATTCGAACCATTCAGAATGCTAGGGCCCCCTCCACTAGGTCCCTATATGACTGTAAATGGAGGGTGTTTGAAGCCTGGTGTCAGGGCAGGGAGGTCTCACCCTTCCAGTGCCCGGTGAACGTCATTCTGTCTTTCCTGCAAGACTTGTTGGATGGGAAGAAGGCTTTCTCCACCATTAAAGTGTACCAAGCAGCCATTTCCGCCCGACACTTGGGTTTTGGGAGGAAATTGGCAGGTCAACACCCCCTGGTGTGTAGCTTCATGAGGGGCGCGCGCAGGCTTCTCCCTGTGTCCCGACCCCTGGTGCCCTCATGGGATCTGTCCTTGGTGCTGTCGGCCCTCTCCGGGCCTCCATTTGAACCTAGGGACGGCCTGGACCTTAAGATCCTGTCTCTTAAGGTGGTGCTACTCCTGGCTTTGGTATCTGCAAAGCGAGTTAGTGACTTACAGGCTCTCTCTGTGCACCCATCCTGCACCCAGTTTGCACCAGGTGACATGAAGGTGTCCTTGAAGCCCAACCCTGCCTTTGTGCCTAAGGTAGTGGGCTCCTTTTCTCCTATTATCCTCACAGCTTTCTACCCACCGCCCTTCTCCTCTCCTGAGGAGGAGCGGTGGCACAAGCTGTGTCCGATTCGCGCGCTCAAGGAGTATGTGAATCGGACGGAGAACCTTCGCAGGGGGGACCAGTTTTTTGTGTCATGGGGTGGGCCTCGTAAGGGGAAACCCGTCACAAAGCAGCGGCTTTCCCACTGGATTGTGGAGGCTATTTCTATGGCTTACTCCTGTCAGGGCATTCAGGCACCTGTTGGGCTCAGGGCCCATTCTACTAGGGGCCTGCCTGCTTCTTGGGCCCTTTTTCGGGGGCTGTCAATCGAGGAGATTTGTGCTGCAGCAAGTTGGGCTTCTCCACTTGCATTTGCATGCTTCTATAAGCTTGATGTTTCGGTCCCTGCAATGACTCACACGATTCTGAGTGTGGGGTCTTTGGCGGGCCAAGACGTATCCCTGTAGGTTGGTGATCGCTGGATAAGCTGTCTGGCAATACGGGAGTCTCCATTTCCCATAGTGAGACATCGAAACGAATGTTAAGAAAGAGAACTTTAGGTTACTATCGTAACCCCGGTTCTCTGAGTAACATGAGTGAGATGTCTCACCAGACAACCCTTCTTGCTGGGCGAAGCGAGAAGAGGTGTTTATCTTGAATAGTGCGTGCGTGGGGACGCTTGCTACTTATAGTAGCAGGGGGACGCGTAAGTCACGGTCACTGGCCAATCAGGATTGGCGTATTGAGATAAGTGCTTCTGAGGAATCCGCGGAGGGGCGTATCCCATAGTGAGACATCTCACTCATGTTACTCAGAGAACCGGGGTTACGATAGTAACCTAAAGATATGTGTAATCAATGGAGAGATGTTTACGTGGGTAGTGCTTCTTGATCCAGTCGATGCAGTCCTCGTCAACCTTTTTGGGTTTCTTGGGCAGCACGGCGTACTTGAGGTTCACTCTGTTGAAACTCATCGTAAATCTGAAATCACATAACAGAACAATGAGCAGACACCAACAGTCATTTGAGCTCCGTTAGGAACAAAACAGTGCAAAAGTGGATGCATACACGAGTGGCCGAGTCATGTTTAGCTGACTGAGGATGTCCTTCTGCACACGGGGGGTGGCGGTGGCAGTCAGAGCCATCATTGGCACTTTGGGGAACTTCTGACGCAGTTCGTGCAGCTTCTTGTAGTCTGGACGGAAATCATGGCCCCACTGAAACAATTAAGAAGCTGGGCTGACTCTTAGAAACCACCGAACGTACACATCTAAATGCATTTTGTACAAATTAAAGAAGAATAACACACCTGACTGACGCAGTGAGCCTCGTCTATGACAAAACGAGCCAGAAGGCCTCGCTCGTACAGGTTCTGCAGGGCAGAAATGAGCCTGTTGCTCGCACTCACCTTGAAGGAAGCAAAAAAATAAAATTAAAAGTCTTACATGCTGTTACAATGCATTAGAAAACAAAACAAGCCTACATTTTCAAAGCACAAATCACACAAACGCACCTTCTCAGGTGTGGCGTACAGCAGTTTGACTATGGGGTCTTTCCTGGAGAGCTGCATATAAATCCGTGCTGCTTCGCTGTCACTTTTATCACCAGACAGACTTGTTGCAGGAATCTGAAATGCATTGGTTGGTATTGTTTTAGACTATAAAACAACAGAATAGCCCCTAAACACATTCTTACCTACATATGATACAACACTACACTAATCCATCCAAGCAGTCACAACAAACACACTCACATCCAGGGCGGTGAGTTTCTGGATCTGGTCTACAATTAGCGATTTAAGAGGGGAAACGACAACGGTGACTCCAGCTGAGACACAGGCAGGCAGCTGGTAGCACAAACTTTTACCACCACCTAGAAATATACAAGTAACAGACATGTTCACACCATTTCACTTTTCATCTGAAAATTCACCAAGTCTGGTTCCACCACCCAACCAACCAACCAACCAACCTGTGGGCATCAACACAAACGTGTCTTCTCCCTGAAGAGTAGCATTTATGGCTTCTAGCTGATTAAATCTGAACTGATGAAGTCCAAAACGCTTATGAAAAATCTTCATCATCTCTTGGGAATAAGGGAAGTTAAAGCCTCTGAAACGATTGTGAGCTGGGTTTTTGAAAGTAGGCTCTGAAAAATAAAATTAGAAAAGTGAAAATAAAAAAATACTCTGTAGAAAAATTAATCTTCAAGATCAAATGACCTAAAAATACATGTTTCATTTGGCATGCTGCCATCTAGTGGCCAATTGTTTAACTTTTTTGGTCGAGATCTTTGGTTTCCCATGTAAATTCAGATTTGTTTAACTGTTTGACTTACCTGGGGAATATATTTTTGCGGGTTTCGGAGCAGAAACAGGAGTCACTGGCTTATTCTCCCACGTGGACTTGTTTGGTCCTCCTCCTGTCCCTCGAGTAGACACAGCGCTGCTCAAGTTTTGGCTCGAAACAGATGAAGTTGCAGGTTCATCAAAGTAATCGGGGATGTCAGAATCATTGAAGTCGTCTATGCCAAAGTCATCATTGTAAAAGTCGTCTAGATCAGCCTCAGCTGCAGCTGTTTGGGGTTTAGTTGAGTTTTGCAAAACAGCTTCTGACCTCTTGGGTGAGAAGTCGAGATCTGGATCACTTTCATAAGTAGTTTGCTCAAAATGACTGAAAGTTGGTTTTGTGAGGCTGTGGGCTGATGGAGAGTCACAAATACTCTCATTTTCTACTGATATCGTCCTGTTGTGCTTTTTGTTCAAGGGCTTTAAGTCAGTTCTGTCTGAAAAATCAGTGTCAGAGCCCACAGAGATGACGGAGGACCTCCTGGGCTGTGGAAGCGTCTTGGAGTCAAAAGGCACAGAGCTGTTGGACGTGCTGCAACTAGGAGAGGTTTCTTTAAAGCCTGGCTCAGAAAGCACGGTGCTGTCTGGCTGCTGCATCCTAAACAAAGAGTCAGCACCTGTGGCAAGAATCCTTTTCCTGTTGCGATGAGAAAAGACACAGGTCAGATTTAAATTACACTAACTACACCTAAAACAATCAAACGAATGGGCAAACCTCTGAGCTCTCTTTAGCAAAAGTTCATTCCCACAAGACAAAGCGATGAGTTCATGTTCAGGGATGGAATCAACCAGAGAACAAATGGACTCCATCAGACTAAAGAGCTGGTCCTCTGCAGCAATAACAGAAAGATTCATAAGAACCGAGTTAAAACTTCTCAGAATGATGAAAATGACTTGATGCGTTAGAAAAATGAAAGCTTAGAGAGAAAACATACTTGTTTTATCTTTTGAGTGGTGATCAGAGGGTTTAGGTAGAGACGTGGCCGAGCTGTTATCCAGGAGAGGGACGCCTTTATGAGAATCTTCTGATTTTATTCTGTTTGAAAGAAATAAAAGTTACTTCCTGCTGAATAAACACAACTGGATACAATTTAACATGAATAACATAGAAACGAGGAATTCTGGGATGACTGTGTAACGTCTCACACAGCTCAATAGGAATTATGAGATCATTTCAGTTTCTACCCAAAATAAATAAATAAATGAACACTTTTGTACCGAATACAGATCTGCTGACTGAACTTATTGTGTAATCTGTTTTGTATTAACAGTTAATTCCCTTTTTTATTGATTAGTAAAATATTGCTTATGTATTTTTTTTCTACGCCAATTCTAAAGCACTGGATATTTAAATGACTCCACAGTTTCACCATTTTTCTGTCAACTGAAGTAAATATAAAAAAAAATGATTTCCAACGTACCAAGCAGATATACTGTACAAATGAAACTGAGTACAACAGTGGATAAATAAACACCAACCTGGTGTCCACTGCTGACACGGTGTAAGACGTCTCATCTGAGACAGGAGAAGGAGGGATGTAATCCAGGTCATCTTCAGGCTCCGAGTCATCATTAAGCTCTATCACCTTTGGGTCCAACCATTTTTTCTTTTCGTCTGATTGGCAGAAATACTTTCCATAAGTTTGGTTGTTTTAGTTCTTTTATTTCAGGTTCTGTTTTCAAATTTTTCTAATTTAATAAACCAACCAATCACTTACTTGTTTTATCTTCTGAAGTTTCAAACATGGTGCCGACATCCTCATCACTGTCACTCAGGACAGACGTCACGTGTGGAGGAGGACATCGTCTTCTGGTCCTTTTAACAGGAGAGTCTTCCACCTCAAACTCTGACGGTTCTTGAAACAAACTAGGTTCGGGTGAAGCCACTTTTTTGTTGACACTTTCCCCCGTTTCATCGGTCTTTGTACAAATCTGGTCCCCATCCTTGTTTAATCCTGATTTTTCAAGCAAAGCGCCAGAGCTTTGTTTCTCTGTGAATTCCTCATTAGCAGATGACAGCAGTTTGGTGATTTTCCCTGATTTGTCAGAGCTAAAAGAGTCATTTTTAGTTTTGACTGGGCTTTCAAAGTCACCAAAATCATCCCAGTCATCCACTGGGAACACAGATGCACCTAGATCTGTGGAACCAATACGATCGCCAGGTGGAGCTGGACTCCTCTTACTATCAGACTTTGCTAAAGGAGTCTGACTTGATGGAGAGGAGTTGCCTGCTGAGGCGGTGGAGTCTGACTTGCATTTGGAACTTACGGGGAAGAAGTTGTTGATTTTGGACTTTTGAGATCTTTCAAGCTTGTTTGAAAATGTCAAAGAAGGTTCAGTTACCAAACTGCTACGAGGGAGATTGACGTTCCTGTTTGCCAAAACATTTGAGCTGATTACCTTGGTTGGGAACTCCACATTTGTTGTACCGGACGTTGACTTCTTTTTGAACAAGAAGGGTCTACAAAAAAGCACAGAACACAAAGAAAATTACACCATAAGGTGACAATACAGGGCAAAGTGTTTGTGTTTTACACAGGTCAATACAATCTTGTGCTAGTTCATGCATTTAGTTTGTGAAAGTGAATGAAAAGTAGTAATTGCTCTTGTAACTTATAGCAAGCATTACAGGGTAGCTGCAGATTTAAGGGAGCCAAATTTAAGACTTTTTAAGACCTTTTTTAAGGCCACTTTGACCAAATTTAAGCTATTTTAAAAATTAAATTTAAGCGATAATTTCCAGCTCTTGCCTGGAGCCGGTGCTAACCACGTCGCGAACGTGGGATTAGCCATCCAGTTACCATTGAACTTGCCCTTCCCCATGGCGCAAGCTCCCATAGCTTAACCAGGTAATGTGCTCATCTAAAAAAAATAGCCCCCTTTCACAACCAACTGACTGCGTACGGTTCCGCTTACGGCAACATCATACACAAAAAATGCTGAACACTAACTAGAGATTCACGAAATTTTTATAGAAATAAAATAATCTTGTTTATTTGGTCTTTGGTCATTTAAGACCTTTGGAAACTGGATTTAAGGATTATTTGTCATTTTAAGGACTTTTAAGGCCTTTCATTAGGAAAAGCTAATTTAAGACTTTTTAAGGACCCGCGGATACCCTGCATTAGTTCGACTTTCTTTAATTTTGGGTGTTTTATTTTTATATCTGGTGGATTATGACAATGAATAGCAGCAGTGTCCCATCCTTGCCCTCAAGAGCCACGTATATTTTGAAGGTTTCTCTGCTTCAACACACCTGATTTGATTATATAATATAATTAAAAAGACGAAGTAATGAAGTCCAGAAGAAAAACAACAGAACCGTTGGAGAACTCATGGTTTAACTCAGATGTTGTTTGTTACGTGGAAAATTAAATCATTTATACCCTAAAATTCCAACAACTGAAACACAAGTGTTGGAGCAGGAATACGCCACCACTAATATACAGCAACAGGTACAAGTATTCGTAGATTTAATTGTCTTGTTCATTAACATAATCAGGCTGTAACACTCTCAGCTAACTGTGCTAGCTTGGTTTCGTGCTGTCGTAAGTTGACTTTACTCACCCCGTTTTAGGTTTAGCTAGTGATAACTTGCTTTGAGCCACATGATTGTGCCTCGCCAGCTGCTCTTTCAAGTTATTTTGTGGAAGACTGGACATGTTTGCGGAGCAACAGAGCTAGCTTTAGCCGACAAGCTCTGCTGTTTCTGAAGTTAGGACGAGTTTCTTTGAGTAAGGTCTAGCTGCGGACATTGCCCAGGCAAAACACGCCCCAGCCAAAGGTTTCTTTAGCATTACACGACTGGCGCTATGAAGAGACGATGTTTTTGTCGTGCCACTGGCTCGTAACTCACTACGGTTTATTACATTTCGCATATAAAAAGCCTGTGCAGCCAGCGTCACATCTATGCTGGGCTCCTACACAAACAGAATTTGCGCCCATTCAACAAGGTGAATCCTCATTGGCCGACGCCGAATAACAGACCTCTGGGAAATGTAGTTTCAAAGAGAACGCGGCATCTGCTACTCTTACCTGCGTGTAAATCGTGTAAATACACTGAAAATATTAATTAAATGAGCTGAAATGGTCTTTGTTGTTTTTTAGGCTGTTACAGTCTTGAATTAAATTGTTGTAAGTTATCACTAATTTAAACACTAAAATCAGCGAGCTGACTTCAAATAAAATCTAAATGTTCTTTAAATCTATAAAAAAAGGATTAAACTAAAATTTGTACTTGTGATCTACCTAAAACTGAAATGGGAAATAGTTCATTTTGAATATTTTTAGGTATGCAGTATTATAAAAATAAAACCACAATGAATAATAAATTGGAGGTTATATGGTTAATGTGTCAGACTATGATTTATCTGCTCATTGGTCTTTTTTCTTCTTCCAAAAAAATCAAAGACTTCACAGGTTTTCTTTCTTTGGGGGTTTTAGCACCCACAAGCTGCAAAAGAAAAGGACTTCAGGGGCAAAAACTTGAAATTTTGGTGGATTTTAAATCTTGTAAAATATTATTTCATCTGAGCAAAATGCAAATGCCAGTGGAACCGTGCAATTAAAGACTCAAACAAACATGTTTATAATAATTTATTTGTCAACCAGAAGACCTAATATAAAGATTAAAGATTATTTTGTCTTGGTATGAATCCTTCTATCATCAAATTCTGATTGGCAGAGGGTAAAAACTGAAACTCCGGAGAAGCATTCAACATACATAAAATATAGGCAATTAAAATGATATATCTATATCTATCTATCTATCTATCTATCTATCTATCTATCTATCTATCTATCTATCTATCTATCTATCTATCTATCTATCTATCTATATATATATATATATATATAATTTTTGCATGGCCCATTGTTTGTAGATTAAAAACACATTATATTTCCCTAGAGGTACTTTTTGTAAAAATATTTTTAAAAAACTATCAGACCACCGGAAAAGATGCACAAGCAGCGAGTCCACACATGTTTTTCCCACGTTCAATGAAGAAATATCTGAGAAGAAATTGTTGTAATTAGTGTTTTTTTGGTTCACAACCACATATTTATATTTTTCACAGACTGAGTGAATATTAAAAAATCTACCCATCAGTGCCCCAGCTAGGTCCCCATGAATTCTTCACTATCCAGTAAGGGGTGCTGTTCTCTTCTCCATAACCAACAGCCAACACAGCGTGGTTCACCTTGTCTGTGGTGTTGTGGCATGTTGTACTGAAAGCAGGAAGAAAAACAAGTCGTGTAACTATATGCATGATCACACTTAAATGGAATGAGGAAGTGAACAAACAACAATAACATATTTCCTAAAATGGAAAAGCATTTTGTGTTTTAGCAAACATTACCTCTTTTTTTTTTTGTATCTTGAGGTTTCAAGTCAAATGGAAAATAATTATTTTTAACAACAGGGATCAGAGATTATTTATCTGTTGGAAATTATTACAAAATGCATCATTATTGCATTTAATAATTTAGGTCTCACCTGGCATACACGCCCTGCTTATAATGCATGAAGTCTGGAGTCACCTCAAAGGCAAAGCTGACCGGATTGTGTGTGCCGACCGCATCGACCATCCCCATCTCATCGTACTGAAAAACAGGGTAAAAACAACTCTGGACATTCTACCTTCATGACATTCTTCTACTTTGATCAGCTTTTAACTTACAGCTGTTATGTTCATTACTTCCTTCACAAAAGCTGCAGCCAGTTTTGAATTGTACATGCAAGTACCTTCCTATTTCAAACAAAAAAAAAAAGATAAAAGCTTAATGAAATCACAATAAATATATTTTTTGTTTCCTATTTAGTTTTAGGATAATTAGTTACCACAGCTTTGTATGGATAGTAATGTTCTGTCATCAGTCCTTTGTTGTGCATGATGTACTCAAATGCCTGGCTGGGAAGACCACTGGAAGGTGCATAAAAACATAACTTTAAAAACATGACATCAGTGTTAAGAATATGATAAAGGAAGCATAAGAACATTTTTGTCTCTCACCCATTACACCCATGGTTGTTAAAATCCTGGGCACAGTCTACCAGCTGTTGTTCTGACTGAGGGACATAAGAAAACATTTAACATTACAGTAAACCATATTTATTTCATGGCTTTGGTCTATTTATATGTGCACAGCAGCATTTTTGATAATTAAGTAAAAATACTTCACCAGTGGTACGAGCTTTCCAGTGGCAATAGCAGTGACGGACTCCAAACAGCCTGTAGTGGAAAATGCCCAGCAGCTACCACAAGCTCCCTGGGATTAAATAAATAAATAAAAACCTTTGTCAGAATAAATAAAGCAAAAACAATAAAAGGTTGGATATTTATGCGTATCTCTGGTACTTATCTTTAAACAGAAAATGTTACTTAAATCCCTAAGTTGCACTTTAGTTACACCTGCTGGTAAGTTAGCTATATTTCTGTCAGCTATCAGCTTTGTGTTTTGGACTATTCTTACTTATTTTTGCACTAATAATTTGAACAGTCCAGTGTAAAAGTCCTTCTTAGTGGCCTAGCAGTATGAGTGTCTGCCCTGAGACTGGGGTTCAAATTAGGGATGTTCCGATTTTTTTTATGTATCGAAAGTATTGGATTGGGACTCGGTATCGGCAGATTCTCAAAATCAAATGACTTGGACTCGGGGGGTGGGGGGGGGGGGAACCTGATTGGGACATCCCTAGCTCTAATCCAGCTGGGTCATATCAAAGACTTTAAAAATGGAACCCAACGCCTCCCCACCTGACACTTGTAGCTTTAAGGGGTTGCATTCGGGGGTTAAACCACATACATCACATAAGTAGACGCCCTGTGGACTGGAGCTGCTGTAGTAGCCAGCCGCCATCTTAGATGGTCCTCCAATCGCTCCCAGTGCATTTTTTTTGGAGGAAGGTGTTTACCTACTACAAAACACATTTTAATATGCTTTTTCACAAAATCAGACGCATATTGTGGCATAATTAAAATGGTAAATGGCCTGTATTTGATATAGTGCCTTCTAGAGTCCTGGAACCCCTCAAGGCGCTTTTCAACACAATCAGTCATTCACCCATTCACACACGCATTCACACACTGGTGGGGATGAGCTACGATGTAGCTACAGCTGGCCTGGGGCGCACTGACAGAGGTGTGGCTGCCGAGCACAGGCGCCACCGGTCCCTCCGACCACCACCAGCAGGCAACGTGGGTTAAGTGTCTTGCCCAGGGACACAACGACAGCGATAGACTGAGCGGGGCTCGAACCTGCAACCTTCTGATTACGGGGCGAGCATTTAACTCCTGTGCCACCGTCGCCCCACAGTTAGGTCCGAAAAGCCAGTAGTCGTCCCACGTGATCTGTTTTCAATAGAACGCCGGCTGTTGCAACCGTGTTTTGTACAAAAAAACAGGCATGGTTGCTCATCCTGCGTTGACTCCAGTTGGGTTGGGAGAGTAAGGGACCCATCCAATATGGCGCTGTTATGCTCTCGAGCACCCAATAGGACATCTGTGTATTCATGTCTATGGGTTAAACCAAATAGTTCCCGAGCGCAGCCACTGCTGCAGCTCACCTCTCCCCACAGGGATGAGTCAAATGCAGAGATGTAACTTCATCTGTGTGAAGACTGATGGGACTTTAATTTTAAACATGTTTTTATAGCACTGACCCCTGAGTTCTCACACATTAGCCTAAATCTCATTAAAAAACGTACACATTTTGTATTCAATATATTCTATAGCTTTACATTGGTAAATGGTAAATGGCCTGTATTTGATATAGCGCCTTCTAGAGTCCTGGAACCCCCCAAGGCGCTTTACAACACAACCAGTCATTCACCCATTCACACACACATTCACTCACTGGTGGGGATGAGCTACAATGTAGCCACAGCTGCCCTGGGGCACACTGACGGAGGCGAGGCTGCCGAGCACTGGCGCCACCGGTCCCTCCGACCACCACCAGCATTGGTGGCAAAAGTACAGTAAACAAAGCATATATCCTCAAAATAACTATTTCACTTCCTGATGCTTTTGTACTATTGCCAGTTTCAGTTATACACGGAAGCTCTTTATCAAAACTGGACATTTAAAAACCTTTCAAATACTTCACTGAAATCTCTAAACTGTCGAGCACACATGCAAGAATGACCTTTGAGATCCATAAAATGATTGTAGTGGATGTTTGTGTTAAACCTTCACCTGGTTCTTCACAGGTGTTATGTAGTTCCCTTTCTTCCTCCAGTCAATGGAGTCTGGTGGCCCATTGCTGCGAAGGTAATTTCCCTTAGTAGCTGAGCAGTTCTGTAAACATAATTTAAAGAGACTTCTTATAATAACTTCTATTAAAAAGAATCAGTTTCCCTGTAAGCAGCTCCTTGGTCAGATTGTATACCTGTGGCTCAGACAACAGGAACGTTCTTCTAAACTCACTGAACGTCATATCTGAAAACTGGTTCAGTCCCACTGCAGGGAGAAATAACATATTACAGTATTCTTATGATTGAAATAAAAACAAATGTAAAATGCAAAAAAATCCTACTGGTGAAAGAATGATTTCCTTCATTGTGTTTGTCGATTCTTCTCTTGTTCTCTGTGAATATCTGCAGTCTCTGGTAGTACTCTTTCATGGTGTACGCCTTGTTGTTCTACAACAGAAGAAAACTGGTAACTTCAAAGCTTACATGACAATAAAAGTGATTTTTTTCTTCCACTTTATGTTAGATCAACTAAAATACACCGACCTGTGCTAACCATGACTTGAATTGAAACTCGTCTGAAAAGATTATGAAATAGTTTTTAGGTTAAAGCAGGAATATCAAACGTGGCTGACACAAAAGCCTCTCTAACAGTCCACCTCACCTTGTTCGGTCAGGTAAAAGGCAGAAGTTACAGCAGCAAAACCAAACAGCAGCCACAGTCTCGACATGTTTTCTGACAAGTGTTCGAATCGGTGCTAGAAACCGATGAAGCGGTCACAAGATGAATGGCTGCACACTTATAACGTCACGCTGCTGGAGGAATTTAGCACCAATCAGAGGGCAGAGGAGAAAATAAAAGACGGGTTGCTAGGTAGAAACCAGATAGGGAATGCCATCACTTTGAAATTAGGAATTAAATAGGACATGAATGATGATTCATGATTAAAATGATAGCTCAGGTTTTTTTTGAAGAACCTTAGTTTAGAGAAAGAGAGAATAGTTCTGACTAGAGTGGTAAGTTAACTCAAATGGGGCCAGCCTCAGTACTGATAACTGCCAATAAAATAAATTTGAAAATATACCTGATTTCAAAATGTACTACAGAAATCCAGACAAGGAGGCTTGGGCATCTGATTAGGATGTCTCCTGGACTCCTCTCTGGTGAGGTTTTCCGAGCACATCCAACCGAGAGGAGACCCAAAGGACGACCCAGGACACGCTGGCAAGGGAACATGATTTAGGTTTATTAGTGAGATTGCTCCTTGCCCTGAGTGAGCGCATGAATAATGGGTTGCCTCAGTGTGACCCAGTAAGGAACAGACGACCTGCAGGTCCTGCCTCACCTACTCTAAGTTAAAGGAATGAATGCAATTCAGCTTGTTTTTAAGAATAATGTTCTTTGTTGAAATATGCCTCTAATGGTCCAAACTGTATTCGTCCCATCATTGTGTGATTAAACATGCAATAAGTACATTTGTTTTTGTACATGTTTAAATTCTGAATTTTTACTTCTGGGTTGCTATTCATTTTTCTGTACATATTTGTATTTTTTCTTCTGTACACTAAGCACCAACAGTGAAAATACCCTTTGTGTAGTCCTCAGATTACATTTAATGTCATTTTCATTTAGCATAACATCAACCCATTCTGTACAAAAGCACATGAGACAAAATGCTCCTGAGATAAAATGGATTTATTAGCATGAGGTAACTGGGAGACATATTTTTGTTTATTTGCTGTGATTTTCACTTTCATCTCCTTTCTTCTTACAAAACTGGGAATATTTCTTTAGTTGTGGAAACAAGAGGGTTGAAAGATAATTTTCATACCACTGGGTATTGCTAACAGCAAAATGTTTATTTGTTTAAATACCTCATAAGATTATGTGCATGTATAAGTGTAAACAGTATAAGTAAATAGGTTTATTCTGTTTGTGAAGGTGTTGCATGCCTACTACATTAGCCTCAAAAGTGTACTGTACATACATAGTAAAAATACATACAAATATTCACAGAATAATCACTACGTTACTATATTCCTGCTAACAGAAATGATTATAAACAGGATTACAGTATAAATGCAAAACACTTTGAAGTTGTGTCCTACCTCTACGTCATGGTTATCAACACCACACTGTTGTAGCATTTTGTATTGAGCTCAAGATATATCTTGTTTTTGAAAAGATTACACTGTTCCATGTTGAGAAATATGCCAGATTACATGTATAAAATGTACAGCACATCTCATTGAAGTGAATTAACAACAAAGTACAAAATACTTCCTCATGTTCATATAAAGAGCAGGTCACTCCCTCTTATACTACTACAAAAATAGTGTTTGGATGCTGCAGGCAGAGGTCATTCACATACAATTTATCATAGTTTTTAACAGCAATGCATATAACAGAGTGATATACAGTCACGTTCCACAATCACTGGAACAGCAAGAAGGACAGATTGTCTTTTAGTTACAGGAGAGCAACAACCTTTTACTCTAGGAGTAGAACCCAAACTGGAAGGTACAACACTTAAAGTCGCTTGTGTTCTTTTGTTATGAGTTTGAAAAGGAAATTCAAGCAAAATGTACCATAGGGTCAAACTTTAGATGTAACAAAATATTAAATGTGTTACCCAAATAACATTAATTTATTAAAATGTAATCCATTTTGATCTCTTCAGTTTGTCTCTTTGAATTGATCTGAGTTGTCTTGACTGATTTCGGGCACCTCTTGTGATAACAGGCAACGGATCGAGTAATATACTTGTTGTTTATAGATACAAAGTTAATTTTAGGGTTATGCTGAGGTTCCTAACCCTCAGGTGTAGGACCATTACACAAGCCCTTAGAACAATTACTGGACAATGCCAAAGAAAGACAGAAAAATGTTAAATTTTGAATACATTTTTTTCGTCTATTGTCCAGTAATTTTCAGTTACATCCTGTAAAGTTGAATCTATCCATTTTTACCATGTGCTACTTTACATTAAAGTCTTGATGTTGTTCAAAGTGAATTTTACACAGCAAGCTTTCTTGGCCTGAGGATCACACTCTCAAACACATTAGCTACTCAATCATGAAGACACACCTCCCCTAGTTTGCAGCGTTGGAGTCCCCCAAGGTTTGGTGCTCAGCCCTCTTGGTATTCTGCACACATGCATCTTTGTCCCCACACATACGCAAACCCTTTGCTGGTAACACTGTCATCAGTTTTGTTAGAATCAACAAGAAAACTCTCATTAATAAAACAAAGTATTTCTCTGACTCAACAAAACCAGTGAGGTAATGATAGTTTCAGAAGAAGGGAAAAAGATACACCCATTTCTATATTAACTGGGCTTAAGAAAAACTGGTTAACTGGCTTAAACAACCAAAGCATGACCAGGTGAGACATCGTTTTGCTCTCTTTTCATAACTTCTTGGTCCCATTGGGTTGCTTCACAACGTAACATATGAACACAAAAACTGTGAAACCAGTACAAAACAGCTGGGAACCCCCATCTTCTGAGCAGAAATGACTAACAAATGCTTCATATTTTTTTGGTTTGGGAAGCACAGAGAGACTTATGCTTTGGATAGCTTGCTGTCATTTCCATTGATCGCTTGTTTCCTCTTTTAAAATACAGTTAGCTTATATTTCCTCTGGGCTCTTTTACCTGATTATATGTAATTCATTTATACAGTGCTACATTGGTTGCAGAGAACGTCAATGATCAATAAAACTCAAGACTAGAAAACAACGGCCAGCAGCATTAGTGCTCGGAAAGTGCAAAGTCGACACAGTATTGTATGATGCAAAATAATGTCATTGGTCACCATGAAGACAGTTGCATGCAACTACAGTGACCTCTATTATTATTATTATTATAATGATTATTATTATTCTTGAATTTCTTAAAAATAAAAAAAGAAAGTATTTAAAGCAGGTGTCATCATGGCAACAAACAAATAAAAAAAGAAAACACCTAGATGTTTTGTGTCATCAAACAACTTTGAACGTCTACTGTACAGAAGAGCAAATATCTTAAACATGTACAGCTATACAATGGTCAATGTGTATGTGAACTTGTGTGTAATATTAACAGAGGAAACACAACACGGAGCACCACCTTCCCCATCAGTTGGACACTTTAGGCTCAATTCTGAGTGAGGCTTCGTACATGCTTTCTTCATCAAGAACAAAGCTCCTGTCCAGTAGATACTGGGCTACCTGAAAACATGTCAAACATAAAAGTTATATTTTAATCATTAAAGTCACTGTGTAAATGTTGATTTGGCAAGTCATTGTGTGTCCACACAGCTCCTCCGCACATCGCCTGATATTTTGCTGGTTCCTCCATGAGCCCCCAAAATAATCCTGACCTTTTGTTGTATTAGATTAAGAAGGCTTCCTAAAGTATCTTGTAGTTTTAGACATGAGTAAAAATAGAATAAATGTTTATTTGGTTGTAGCTGAGTCACACACATATCCCAAATATAGGTCCTGCATAATCTATTCTATGATACATTTTAGTTCCAGCATCATTGCCTGTCCTTATAAACTCATGAGGGTTGCTGATTAGAAAAAAAAAACATTTAGGAACCATCCTAGAAAATGGCAGCTATAGGTCACATCATAAGAATGACTAAATCCCAGACGTTGACATTCATTGGCTCTCATATAAATGATTACAGTTCCATTTTTAGAACTATTTGTGTTATTTTAATTAATTTTGGTCCAAACATTAGTAAAAACAAATAAGATGGTGTTTTATTTTTTTGTTATTTATTTCCACTTATTTTGTTTCTTCTGGTTCTCAGTTTGCATGAAAAATATTTTACAAATAAGCTACAGTTGATCGATTAAACACTTTATTGATTGCCTGATTGATGGGTTGGTTGATAGATTAATTCACTCTACTGTTACAAAGTATGCTCACTACTATTCATTTAATTGCATTTATTTGAATAATTTAGGAAGATAGGAAAAGAAGAACTTTTACATTTACCTTTGGTTGTAGATCAATTTTATACGCTGTTTGCTGAAACTGCCTAATTTCTCTGATGATGTGCGAAATCTGAAAAAAGACAAAGACATTACCTTCTGAGTGTGAAAAACAGATTTGGGCAAGTTTCTCGCATGGTCACCAAACCTCTCACCATCCTCATCTTTGAGAAGTTGACCAGGTTGTCTTCGGTGTAGTTTGGTGTTCCTTCCTCAATGAAAGCCAGATCAGTGAGGTACATCCCAAGATACGGAACACAAGGGGGGTCGCAGCTGATGGGAAATTAAGTTTTAAAAAAATCTCTTCAACCACTTGCACAGCTTTTGTTCTGGCACAACATTTTGTTCTTTAACCAAACTCACTTCTTCAAAGCCTCTCTCAGGTTCTTGAACCGCCCCTCTGATGACACCAGCTTTTGCAGCTTGTCAATCAGTGCTCTCGTCTACAATAGACAGTCACAAAGAACAATTTTAATGAAAATTTTGGACAGCAGTTAAAAATGATGTACTAAGACACACACCTGCTTAGAAATCTTTAGCCAGGTCTTCTTGAGGCGGAAAACAGAGCTGCGGTTTAGAGAGGAGGTGATTTCGAGCACAGCGTTGTAATTATGCAAACAGCGGCAGATGTCGGCCACGGCCACCCATTTCTCTATGACTGCTACCCGAGTGGCCGTGTCTTCACACCGCAGGATCTCTGTAGCAATCAGGTTGCTTGTCTTAGAGAGGGCAGATACAAACAAGTCATTTCCTCCTAATATTGTTAAAAACAACAAAACTGGCTCAGCTGAGTCTATTTTCTTATTTCAACCTACATCATTGAAGTGCTTTGTTGTTCTCATGATGTACGGCGTCTTCTCATTTTTGTCATTTTTCATCCAGCCTTGACCAAAGAACTCCCTGAAAGATGAAAAAAAAAAATTAAAGAAAGACGCAGAATGACCGGCTCGAAGATTTAATAGAAATATGTTCTTCCCGGCCACTGATGGGTGCAGCTGAGATGTGCTGGCACTCACTCATATGGGATCACTTTAAACACCAGGTGGTCAAGCAAAGTGAGCTGCTCTGCAATTTCCAAGGCTGAGTGGGTCTCGAATGGCTCAGCCCTCCCCGCTCCAACCTAGGTGACACAACAGTGAGGAAATTAGAAACAGCCATGCTTTAAACCAACCTGTTGTGTTACTGATCAAGAACAACCTCTAAATAGAAATTTCTGCTGATTATGAATCTCCCACACCAGACAGATCACCAACACCCTTGAAACATTTAATCAGCCAACTCATCATGTATGTTGTTGGACTGCATAATAAAAACGTATCCAGAGACACCCACAGACACACAGGCAGTTAAAGTAAAATGTTGTTTTCATAATGTGAGGTCATTAATAACAACAAACTTTATCAAGACCAATGTCTAGGGGCTTTGGAGATAGCTTCCCGAGTGGCCTCTGTTTGGAGAAATAGTGTTATAGGACTGGTTCTACAGCCAAGACCATGTGCTGCCAGCTTAGAAAAAGTCCAATACGCAGAATTAAATGTTGATTTAGAAGTGTGAATAGCAGCAGCAGTAGCAGCAGCAATGACTGTGTTTCACTGAGTTAGACGCAGACAAGCCATTTTTTAGATGGTCAAGTCTGCCCAAATAGACTCAATGAACCTAAATTTATTTCACACATAAAATTTTAAACATAACAAACAAAATAAACACAAATCTACTAATACATTACAAACCTACTCAATAAAAGAAAAACAAATAAAAAACTGCAGATTATTTCCTGTTTGAAAAGGACTAGGACATAAATTGTTGTTGTTGTTGTTATCATCAATCCATTTTCTTTACCCGCTTTTCCACTCAAGGTCGCTGGGTATTATTACTATTTTTTAAATTTTATTTCAATTTAATTTTTACATTCTAGTATACCTTTTACCTGAAGAAACAAAAATAAGCAATCTGAAAATATGTTTTCATAGTTTTTTTCCTTGTTGTGGAAGTTTAGGGGTTAAATAAAACAGTATGTGTGTAAGACAAGTCATGGTTTTCCCAAACCTATAATAGTTTAAAATGAAACACAATTTTTTTGTACAGAAAACAACTTCATTTAGTAACCACTAACAGGAGCAGTTGAGCCTAAGAACGGAGATAAATACATTATTTTGTGTCTGTTTGTAAAACAGACTCTTGTTTTCTGTTGACTCATAAGAGCTCTATGTGCACAGTGTTTATTTTTTTATGTGGTTTTTACCTATTTGGCCATTAATATATATTTTGGTGTCACGTGATCTGAGAACAGATGGTAGAAAATGGTGCTGATGACAGGGCAGCGTTCCTTTTAGCTGATAGGCGGCACCCCTTGTGTTCAAGGATATTTTTTTTCTTCAGTTTGATATAAATCCGTCCAACCATCTGTTTTAGATGTCCAGTATTTTTAATTACTGTCTAGTGTTACTGTCCATTACTCTCACACTTTTTACACTTAAGGTTTGTGTGATCCAGTGAAAAATGCTTGTCATGAAAATTAAAAAAAATAACATTCACGTTATCCTTCTCCATTGTTTGGTGTACAGGCGCACATTTTGGATATTTGTGTCACAGTTTGTCTTCTCATCCTTGAGTCAAATGTTGTCCTCAGATGTAACTCAGAAAACTAATACATTCCACAAGTTACCAACTTCACTCACCAGTTGTGTCACATCTTCCATTGTGATCTGGTTGTCTCCGTGATCTTCCTGAGTTAAAGTTCTGAAAGAACAACAACAAAAAATCCCATTAAAGTCAAGAGTCTGAAAGAAGAATGACCCGATGATGATGAATTAGGAATCCAATAATAGAAAAATAAATACGAAAATATGGTAAAACACCAACATTTTACAGCCTTTTTTTCCCAATAAATGAACAATAATTAGCTCAATTGCTACACATTTGAAATTCAAGCGAATGCGCTGAGTCCCTATTTGGATGCTTATGCCAACATAAGATCTTAGTGAATAATGACTTAAACAAGTTGCTATCTAAAAATAAAGTAAATGAAGCACATTTTAACAACTACAACACCTGATAATGTTTGCTGCTGCTTTCCTCTCTTGTGTCAGCAGCTCAGGGTCATGCATCACCTCCTCTAGGAAGGCAATGACCTTCGTCTTCAGCTCATTGTTACACTCAAAATCCTGAAAACACAAAGATAATATAATATAGAGCAGAGAGTCTTTATGTTGCTGATGATAATTTAAACAACTTTTCCTTTATACTGGTTCTTCACTTTTCATTCATTCATTTCTGTCATTATGTTGATGACATCACGCTACGTGTGCCTCATCCTCTCAGCCACTATCATCTAAAGTAGACGTGGGTGTCTGGGGCAGTGAGAGCCCATGAGATTGGCAAAGAATTAATTATTGGGATGAAGACATAGGATACAAGACATTTAAAATCTATTATTCTACGAGTTATCTCAGTCATAGCAGTGCTTTAATTTAAAGGTGCAACATGTAAGAATGAAGTAAGAATGACATCTTGTCGTCAAATGTAGGTACTGTAGTACATTTTTCTAAGCAAAACGTAACTTTCCCACTGCCGTTCCAGGAGTTTCATGGCTGTTTCCAGTTACAAATTAGCACTAAATGATTCTAGATAACAAGTGAAGACGAATCATAGTTGATTAGTAGATAAACACAGTGCTATATATGGTGTTAGCACTCTTAGGTGTTTTATGATAGGGAGTATTTACTACACTTATTACAATACTATGTCTCCAACCTTAGAGGAAGTGTGGTTGTTTGCCGTCTTGCTGTTAGCTTGTTGTTATAGTTCTGAATGACTCATCAATTGAGGTAAAATGCCACAACTGACTCATTATTCACTTCACACATGCATTTCACTAAAATATATAGTGTTGTAATTGAAAAAGTAGCTTGAGATATTTTTAGAGCCAACTATTTGCTTTTAATTCACCGTTGGCATTGTTAGCTCAATGTTAGCCTCTAGCCTGATTCACCCAATATTAAGAGTAAAACAAAGCTTTTTAGGGGTACAAGAAATAACTTCTGGGTTGCTCCTGTTTATTCGCTTCACTTCTTTAAACAAGTCTGGACCTTTTTGCTTGTCGGTGTTGAATTAAAAATGCTCACGTTGCAGCGTTAGCTTGGTGCATAGTCCTCAACCTCACAAACTCAGGCCTAGTCCACACGTAGCCGGGGTTTTTTAAAAACAAATACCCGCCCCTCCAAAAACTTGCATCCACACCACCGCGTTTTAAAAACAAACTCTGTCCACACGTACCCGGATAAATACGTTGTTAAGGACATTCCAGACCTGTAGGCGGCAGTACTTCCCCCGTTCTTAACCTCGTCCTTCGTCTGTGGTCTTCCGCAAGGAGCAGTAATTCCGCTTGCAAAAACAAACAAGCAGAAAGCGCTTGGACAATTGATGGATCGGGTAGTGACAGAGCTTAGCTCTGAAGGCTTCCATGATGCCGGCTAGTGTAAACACAGGTCGCACACGTGATGTCAGCATTGCTTTGTCGCGGAAAGTGACGTTGCGGACCTTAAAACTCCGGTTTTGTCCGTCCACACGCAGTCACCCAAAACGGAGAAAACGCAGATCTTCACTTTGGCCGGAGTTTTTAAAAAGATCCGTTTTCGTGTGAAAAAACTCCGTTTTCGTGTGGATGACAGGTCAGATTGCAAACATTAACTGTCTCTTGATTTTTTTTTTCAAAGTGAGAAAAACTGACATCCCCAGGCTCAGTGAGAATTAAATCAGTTTCAATTAATCTGTCCTTCAAATATGTATTTCCCTATAGAATTCTTACATATTGCTCCTTTATTGAAAATGTGCACACTGATAATGTAATGAAAGTACGTTTTTGATGTATTATGTAGCCCTTGTCTGTATCATTACAAGTCTTAACAAAAGAAGCAAAAATTAAAGTAATTCAACAATGTATCTGGATGACAATTTTGGACACTGCATCTAAATGTGACCTGAACTGAGAGTTTACCGGAGAGTGTTTGGACACCCAGTGCCTCAGAACATTCAGGACTCTGTTAGTCGCTGCTCGTCTGATCACAAACTCCTTGTCTCCATTTCTCTGGTCAGTTGGAAAACCTGCAGGAAAAACAAACAGACAAGGTAAAAACTATGGAACGTGAATGAGAACTTTATGGGAGTCTCTGTAGGTGTGCACACCTGTGCTTGCGAGAGACATCCGTCGATACTTTTCTTTTGTTGGAGTTCCCTCATTGGCTCCAGCTGTGGCAATGGCAAAGGCAGAGGCCGCAGACAGAGCGCTGCGGTTGTTGTCGAGCTCTCGACACGAGGACATGACCATGCCATTGTTGTAAGAAAACAAAGAAAACTCTACATTCAATAAAGAGAACACAAAAACAATTTGACGTCATTGAAACTGAAAAGGCATCTATTATTTTCAGTTGCGGTGCACAAACTTTAACTTGATTTGCACAGATTGTAGAAGGCTTGGATCTGCTTGCACGAGCCTCCACCAGGGAGCACTGGAGGCCAACACAACAGTTTCCCTCCAGACTTTCCTATTCAAGAGGCTTTGATATTTAAGATGGTTGTAGCTAAATATAGCCACCAAATATCAGCATAACAGTGAAATCAACAGAATCCCTGCATTCTGCTGTCTTTGAATCCCGGGAAACACAGATCACAAGGAGATAAGAGCATCTGTCACCCCGATCAATCATTTCACATCATCCACATATTATTGTGCAGATTTTGCTTAGGAAGGCTTTGGTGCTGATGTGCAAAGATTTAGGAGGCGAAAATAATCTTGGCTCCAGTGAAACAGCCTCATTACTGGGGGCGGCAGGGAAAACACGCTCTTGATGTAGTTGCTATGACACAAGTTTCCTTAACACCCACTGTAGCCAAGCTTTGGTTTTCCCCACATGCTCATAATCATCGACAAACAGATATATTATGTTGCTGTGTTGCACACTGGGCATTTCAACCTGAGTTTTTTATTCTGAGAAGTGATTGCTTTTCCACCCACAGAGAATAAAATATGCCTTTACAAGGTAAACTTTAACTCTTGAAGGCTCAGTATTCGAGGCATTATTGCACAGTCAGCATTTTTGGCTGATTTGTGATACTGTCACTCTTTAAATAGGACAAAATATACCTGAGGAGTTTTTGCATTTGACGTTTTTTGGTGTGGTTGGCGACTTGGTGGGAGATGCCTCTGGGTCGCCGTCATCACTCTGGTTCTGATCATTATCACTTTCTTCTCGTACAGAGAGATCTGCATCACAATGCAAAGATGAAAGAAGCAAGGACTTGGCTTTTAACCATATCCTTACTGTAACTGATTTCTTGGAACCCACCTTGCTTACAAATTGAGGCGTCCTCCACCTTGTCCTTCTTGTCCTCTCCCTCATCGGGTATTTTGCTGGCGATAGGGCTGGAAACATAAAGCTTGTTGATGTCCAGGGTGGTCTTGCTGAATGGGGACATGGAGGAATACATGCTTGCATAGCCATTTGAGGAGCAGCTGAGGGCAGCCAGGTCAAGAGCTTTGCCCCCAGTGATGATGGGGATGTTGAGGGAGAGCTTGCGGCGACGGTTGGGAGATGAGTTCTTGGCAATAGCAAGAGGAGGAGGGGAGGAAAACTTTCTGCTAGCCCTGGGAGAGCTGGGAGGCTCCCCATATAGGAGTTTGCTGTTCTGGCTGCTGGCAAAGAATAACTCCAGGGACCTGCATTAAATATCAATATATAAATTTCATGTTAGTATAAAGGAATATTTCTTTGACATTTTGAATGTAGGGTAGCTAAACAAACACCTCCTGAATAACGCATGCAAATCAAGTCAAACCAGACAATCAGATTTCTGTTTTGCACCCGTCTCGACATTTTAGAGCAGGATAGACACTGCAGCGTTTCAGTAAACCTCTCCCACTCCCTGCCACCCTCCTGCCGACCTCACGGGTTCCCATAAATAGCACAGCGAGTGATAGTGCGCATGGCCACTGCTGACACAAGCAGCCAAGTGTAGGTGTCTCGCAGTGGCATTACAAGCGCCGTGGGAAAGCATACTGCAGGGCGTGGACGCGGGGAGCTCTTCCTGATCTGAACCCCACAGCTGGGCTCCCACTCTGGGCATGCGGTGCAGCGAGTTAGCCAACAATGCAACACTCTGTCTATATTTCACACTATATGGATTTTGCAAACAAGGAAGAAAGGGAATGGAGGGGAGTGAGTGAGTGAGTGAGGGAGGGTGGGGTCCTGCAGCACTGAGGTTGGTTGCCATAGAGCGGCACACTTCAGCTCAGACACTCCCAACCAAACAGAAGGAACTGGACCCAATTGCTGCTGTCAACCAGTGAAAACATTCATATTTACACACATGCATGCACACACAGCAATCCTGGCACTGCAGGGCATTGCTTCACCAGCTGCTTACGTTCATCACAAAGAAGATTGTTTAAAACTCACAAGATTTATTCATCATTTAGATCCAAAAATTATTTTTGTGAAGGCCTGGACCTTTAGCATCTAAAATCTTTGGATTACTCCTTAAGCATAGCTTTATGTTAATCCTTATGCATTTGACAGTGGCTTTTATACCAAGCAACTTACAAATGAACAAACTAACCTTAAAGATGGCCTATACTGATTATTTTAATAAATATGCTGTGGTCTCTAGTATAAATGAATTTATTGTAAGTAAGTAAGTAAGTAAGTAAGTAAAAGTTTATTTATAGAGCGCCTTTCACAGATATAAATCACAAAGCGCTGCACAACATGATAAAGATCAGGGCAAATACCTCTAACCAATAAAAACATCAGAAAAACAATAGCAGTGATAAAATAGTAAATAAAATCACGAGTAAAAACAAAGTGAAGGTGTGAACTCGAACAAAGCCATCTTTTAGGACATTTAGGGAGGGAACGCCTGGATGAAAAGGTGAGTTTTAAGATGATATTTAAAGACCTCTACAGTGTTAGAGAGACGGAGATTTGAAGGCAGACTGTTCCAAAGTCTGGGGGCAATAGTCTGAAAGGCCCTGTCCCCTTTGGTTTTCAGTCTGGTTCGAGGAACAGTCAGGAGGTTTTCAGATGTGGATCTGAGGTTCCGTGAGGTGGTGTGTGAGGATAAAAGGTCAGTTAGGTAGCTTGGAGCCTGGTTGTTAAGAGCTCTATAGGTCAGGACTAAAACTTTAAACTGTATTCTATATTCTACCGGGAGAAAGTGGAGGGACTGTAAAACTGGAGTGATGTGAGCTCGTCTGCTGGATTGTGAGTCGTTCTCTTTGTAAAAATGCTCTGGGGCTCTTGTTTCAGCTAGCATGAGTTAGCCGGAGGAGTGGGAGGCAGAAAACGTCAGGATTTGGAGTCTTACTCGTTAGTATTCATGATATTGGGGCACCTTGCTTCTCACTGGCTAACAGCAACGTGTCTCTTCTACTGCCTCCATTCGCTTTTCAACAAATAACACAAGCCTGATGGAGTTCTGCCTCACTGGGGAGATGATAATGCTGACAGTTAACTTCTACATGTACTAGCCGAGATGTGCTCTGCTCTTTCCTGGATGCTAAATAAACAGCATACTTCCCCGGTTGCAAGCCAAGATGGGTGAGTCATTGAATGCTAAATTTCAATGTGATGTAAATCTGAGTGACCTGTTTTCGATCAGGACATAGGGGTAGAGAACTATTTTCACATTCAGCATGCATGTGAAACTCAGAGTGACTTTAAAAAATAAAAACAGTTTCTCAGTGAACCTGCTCTTTAGGTTTGACAGAATTCAAACAAAAGCTACTGTCAGCACCGCACAGCTCATTAACAAAAAGCACCACCAATGGATGATAAAGAGGATGATAGCAACCCCACTAGTCCCCTCCTAGCTAGGCAGTCACACGTGCATAGTTTCTTCATAGAACAAAGAACTTCTGTAAAATAATAAACAACCCTTTACTTGACTAAAACAGTAATTAAGTTATGCAGTAAAGACAAATCAAACAACCCTGAAAATGGAGATAGAGGTTTGCAATAGGACTGCATTCTTTTGTAAGGAATGTCAACCTGCCAACGCAGCAGCAGGACTCACCGAGCAGGGATGGCACTGATGGGCTTCTTGTAGATAGTGATGAGTTTATCCAGCACCACGTCAGCTGTGGTGAAAACACGGTAGGAGTGCAGGAAGGTGTTGAGGAAGTCAATGGAGAGGAAACGAAGGTCAGTCAGTCTTTCCAGCAGACGTTCAACGCTGGCGTAACGGATCTGCAGCACTTTGCAGGAGTTCATCATCTTACTGAAGCGGATGTCTACGTCATCGCAGTACAGACTTGAATCTGATCTGTTAGGAAAAATAGTACGGATGCAAAATGGGAAAAATAAAAGGCTAGAGGCAGGAGGAGACGCACAGCAACACATGGAAGTAGGGTAAATCTCACTTGATCATCTGTGGCACTGTGACTTTGGAGTTTTCTTCAAAGGCATTCATCATGAGGCCATTGCAGCGGATGTTGTCTATGCACTGCAGGATGCAGACGGGGAAATAAAGCAGATGAGACAGAGGAAATCTTAGCGAGTTTTGCAACATAGCCGGCATCCTCAGCTTCTCGTCTGTCTGCTGGAGAGTGTTACGCGTGTTGACATGCCTGGCTGATGTCGCTGGTCCATGCAGACTTCTCCTGCCTGGAGGAGGCCACCAGGATGATGGTGAATGACTGGCTGTCTTTTGGCTCCACAACAATCTTGAAGTCCAGGTGCTCCATGTCCTGGCCACTCTTGTCTGATTTAGCTTTAAGGAGAGCACAGATTATTTTCTGTAAGGCTGTAATCAGATGTTAACGCCTCAAAATTGAATGCTTATCAAGACAAAATCTACGGTTTTCAAAGCCATGTATTTATCTGCTTTTCAGCAAGATTGCACTAAATTACAAAAGCAAAATTTGTGATTTTTTAAAAATAATAAGAGGAAGCACATAAGAAGACACTGATAATGATGTTAAGAAAATTTTTGCTAAAACTAAGCATGCTTTTATTTGTTCTTTTATTTTGTTGTTGTTCTTTTTGGTGCTGCCGTCTGCCTGATCTGCTTTTCAAGTGTTTTGATGACTAATTAGAAAATTTTAATGTATTACTATGAACTGTACCAAACAAATATTACGTAAAGCATCATACATGGTTCACATAATGTAAACTGTTGCAAAGCCAGAATATGAATTAAACACTTACACTCATCATCCGTACCCTCAGGGTCTTCCATCAGAGTGCAGTCTATTAGCGAGACGACTCCATTCTAAAAATAGCATTAAATGTAGATTCAGGGTTTTTTATACACCAACCATGTTTGACTCAACCTAATGGATCTGTGAGTGATATTTTGTGCATTTTACACAACTTAGTTCATCAGTATTTATTACCACAATACCAGATAGTTTAAATTTAAAATACCTCAGCTTTTAAAATCAAATAATGTAATAAAATACATATGCAGCTCAATGCAATATGGAGTTTAAATCTCGAAAAGGAAAGTGTTTGCTCTACAGAAAAAAAAATTCATTCGACAACACTCCATTCCTAGATAAATTATAGGCGACCACCGCGGAATAATAACACATCATCTCTACAGTTAGGGCTCCTCATAAAATGTCATCTTTCACTCCAAATAGTTTGTCATCTACCAGAATTAGCTTTTCATTTTAGCTCCAGGACGATTTAGAGCTGTGAGCAGCTATGGTGCCATCCCAGCATCTCAGGCCCACCTTGGTGAGATGAAGCTTTCCTCCAGAACCCCTGGTGCAGATGATTAAGTGTTTAGAGAAGAGGAAACACTGCCTCTCCCCCTCCTTCTTCAGAGACAGAGAACCCAGTCGCCCACGGGTTATCTTGCCCTTCTCGCTCATTGGCACCTGAATGAGAGACCCTACATGCAGGAAATAAGTGTAATAAATGAGAGGGGTACACATATGAGTAGGAAAAGGGGCAAAAGAAGAAAAGAGGGAGGAATTAGAGGAAAATCTGAATAATCTGGATAAGATAATGAGGAAGCTTCTGCCACTTTTTGCCCTTTCCTAAACAATTAAGAACTGTTGGGGATATCTGACATTTACAGCTCTGGATTTGTCATCATTCTGCTGCAGAATAGTTGATTACACATGGAAAGTAAAGATTTTCCTCTTGAGTAGTGTATTCTCTTCTGCAGACAGTGTCAGCCCTCCTACTGTTCCATCTTAAGGCCTGTGAAATCTTGTTGTCAGTGTTGTAATGTGAACGGACAAGAAGATCCCTGCCTGTCGGGCTTGAAAGCTCACCAATCGGAGGTGGAACATACCTTGTCTTACAAACGTCTGGCTGGTGTCAAGGAGCACCTCACAGCCCTCGATGATCATGCGCTCTATTGCCAGGTTTTTTCTGATGTTTTCGGTCTCGCTCACCTCGTCGTGCATTATTCTAAGAAACGTAAGAGTTTATCATTCACAGTTAGAAAAAGTACGCAGATGGGATGGTTTTAATCTACTCAGCTTTATCTTGCACTTCACCAGTTACCTCCAAAACCTTCATCTATTAATCAGCATAACTTCAATGTAGTGGTAGCTGGTGTTTAAAAGATTTAGGACAACAAATGACATGCTACATGATGCAAAACCATTTACTTTAGTGTGGAAACTAGTGGGTACCTCTCAGACATCTTCTCTTTTTGATTTTTAGGTACACTTAAAGCAACACTAAAGAGGTAGTTTTTATCATTTTAAAGGTGCATTATGTAAGAATTAAGTAAGAATGACATCCTGTGGTATAACTTTGGTACTGCAGCCCATTTTATAAACAAACAAGTAACTTTCTCACTCCTTTTCTCTGTGTTTCATGGCTGTTTTCAGCTACGGATCACGCCAGAAGATTCTAGATCACAAGTGAAGATGAGTCATACACAGCAAGTTTATGAGTAGATAAATACATTATATTGTAATGATGAGTTGTTGATAATTGAAAGAGTAGCTTGAGATATTTTTAGAGCTGACTATTTCTAACTCAGCATTGTTAGCTCAACACTGGCCTCTAGCCTTCTTTACCTGATATTAGAGTAGGACATAAAGATGCCATGGCTTCTTAGGAGTACAAGTAATTACTTCTTGGTCGCACCTGTTACTGGCTTTGGTTCTTTACAAAACGCTTAACTTGGCGCAGACTTGGCTCACAAATTGTAAACACTGACTACTTTCCTCTTTGGCCATTTTGTAAGGAGAAGAACTGACAACACCCCAGCTGCTTGACAAGGAAATCTGTTTCAATGTAACTTTCCTTTAAACATGATTGAGAAATTAGACAATTTTGCAATTATTTCAAACTGAAATTCTTTCATATAGGCTAGTCCCTTTAGGCTATTGCTTTCAAACTGATTTCAGTGATTCTTGAGTCATAAACCTGAGCAACTTGACATTGGACAGCACTCTCCTGGTCCTCTGCTGACCAGAAACTACAGTAAAAAGTTTTGTTATTCAGGTAGGAACACTAGTGGGAGGTCTTTACCTGGTTTACGACAACAATACTGTGCCAGTAGCTCGTACCAAGGCTAACAGTTAGCTTTTTCAGTTTGAAGAAGAAGAATTTAGCTACTTTTGTTGACATCATGGCAGAGCCTGAAAGTCAAACAAAGGTCTTGTAAGTAATATATAGTGTGGATTTTTTTTTTTTACTTTATGGCTTATTTGAGTATCAGTTGGCTCATATTAGTGTTAGCTCCTTGTTAGTGCTAGCTACAGCAGGCAGGGCTGTTATTTGATTTCAATCAGTAGGAGGGTGAAGTGAAAAACGTATTTAGTGTTGCTTTAATTGATGCTCATCAGCCAAAATACTACAAACTTACATGAGAATAAAAGGTTTAGTTCATTATAGAGTAATACCACCCAAACCAATCCCTCTCGATGTGGAAAAGTAAACCTAAAAGGGGATGTAACACTCATGTCATGGTTCTTACTTGAGTGTGTATCATAGAAATTGAATTACTAATTTGAGATTTCATGCATGTTGTAGTTGCTCAATACCTAGAAAGTTCCTCCAGCTTAGACTTGGCGTAGTCCAGGCTGTTTCTCTCAATATGTTCATGGGGTGTGTGTGCCAGAAGCTCGTGGAGTGTGAGAATGTAGCGGGGAATCTGGAAAGTCAGGTCAGAAGGCAACATGGGAGTCACACCACATTTTTGATTACAAATACACACAAAATACTGAGAAACATAACAGAATCTAAATCTAATCAGATTCTGGCAGTAGTTTGTGTTTCTCATTGATATGTTTAATCTTGCCTGGAACATGGGGTAGGTGAGAAAGGTCTCCAAAGTTCTTTCTTCACAGTCGGGCTTGGCCTCATACTGTTTCAGCAGCTTGTCAAAGTCCCGATTTTGTTTACAGTGAGCCAAAATCTGCAGGCTGTACTGGTGGTTCCTCACAAACTCCTGGTAGATGTTCAGCATGGGCAACAAGATGTCAAATAGGTCGGCTGTAGAGACATTACAAACAAGACAAGGAGGATATTTAAACAATCTTGATAGTCCGAATGTGCTTTAAAATAATGAATGAAAGTCTCGTCGCTGAAAGAAGATATTCTTACCGAGCACTAACGTTGGCCAACTTGCTATTCTGGCCTTCAGACCCTGGTAAAATATCTGATGTAGGAACATTATAGTTTCACTAGAATAAAAATAACAATGAAAAAAAAATTAGTGAAAGTATTTTCAACATCTCAGACAAACATACTGTTTAATAAATGATTTTACAGAAATCGAATCTAATCTTCTTGGAGGGCTTTAAAAATTTTTAAATATAAAATAAACAAAAAGCTGAAGACCAAAATTAAACTTGCTCCTGTGCATAACTATTGAAATACCAAACCAAAGAGGTGTGAGTTGTTTAACTACAGCAACCTGCACGTATAAATCAATTGTCAATTACGGTGGGGTGAGAAGGTTTGGGCAGCCTTGTTAATCTTCATAAACTTCCTTCATAAATTGCTGGTTGTTATGATAAAAAAATCTGATAAATATATCATGTAGGAGACACACATTTATATTTGAAGTGAAACAAAGTTTATAGGATTTACAGAAAGTGTGCAATAATAGTTTAAACAAAATTAGGCAGGTGCATACATTAGAACACCACAAAAAAGAAATAAACTCATTATTTAGTAGATGCTCCTTTTGCAGAAATAACAGCCTCTAAACGCTTCCTATAGCTTCCAATGAGAGTCTGGATTCTGGTTGAAGGTAAGCCTATCTGGACGATTCTTCACAAACATCTCTAGTTCATTCAGGTCTGATGGTTTCTGAGTATGGACAGCTCTCTTAAACTCACACCACAGATCTTCAGTAATATTCAGGTCTGGGGACTGAGATGGCCATTACAGAACATTGTACTTCTTCATCTGTATGAATGCCTTAGTAGGATTTTAGCAGTGTGGTTGTCTTGTTGAAAGAGCCAGCCCCCGGTGCAGCTTCAGCTTTGTCTCTGATTCCTGGACATTGGTCTCCAGAATCTGCTGATGTTCAGCGGAATCAATGCTTCCCTCAAAGTTAACAAGATTCCCAGTCCCTGCACTGGCCACAACGCCCTACAGCTGACAGAACCACCACCATGTTTTACAGCAGATGGCAGCTGTTCTTCTTGGGATGCTGTGTTCTTTTTCCTTCATGCATAAACAACCCGGTTTTACTTTCATCAGTCCACAGCGCCTTATTCCAAAATGAAGCTGGTGAACAATCATTGTTTTCACGTCATGTGAGAGTTGTTTTGAGACCCCATGTCGCTGCTCTTCAGAGAATATTCAAAGAGGAGGGAAACTTACAATTGCCCCCCTTAAATACTCTTCCTCATAACTGGATTCACCTGTGTATGGAGGTCAAGGGTCACTGAGCTTACCAAACCTATTTTAAGTTTCGATAATTAGTTCTAAACGTTTTGGAATCAAGAAAATGAAAACAGTGCCAAATTTGTGCACCTGCTAATTTTGATTAAACACTCATTGCACACTTTCTGTAAATCCTATAAACTTTGTTTCACTTCTCAAATATCACTTTGTGTGTCTCCTGTATGATATATTTAACTGAAAACTGATTTTAACACGTGTTAACACGACATAACAGATTTTATTGTAACAGCCAACGATTTATGAATGTAAATCATGAATAACAACGTTACCCAGACCTTCGTACCACACTGTATCTCTGAATTTGATCCAAGTAACCATGTTAATAGTCTTGTGTTGCGAGCTGAAAGGTTTGTAAAATAACACAGATTTGTGGAAGACTGCAGCTGTTTCATGATTCTTAGCTTTGCTGTTGTCCAAGCCAGATGTTATCTGGCTTCTCTTGAATTCAAAAAGCAAATTAAACAACAGGAACAGTTTCTCGGACTCTTTTTGATGAAAATTAAACTCACTCTGGCACAGTAAAGATTTCAATTACTGATTCTATCTGCCTTAAGGACAGGACAGGTTAAAAAACATTTAAATATTAAAATAACATTAGCTGCCCTCCAACTAGCCTTTAGCTTGTCAATCTTAAAGGACATGAAAGACTTTCCCCATAAAAATAGGTTTCAGAAGATTAATAAGCAATTATGGTGATTTACTTAAAACTTTAACACAGGAATACATGAAAAATAAATTCAAGGAAATGTTTGCATAACTCTTTGTTAAGTGTGAAAGGGAAAACCCCAAAATTCTTAAAACTTTTACAAATCCCTTTGAAATAATTCTTCACAAACTTTAAACATGTTAAATTTGTTCCCTTTTAAACGTGATACAGAAAACCGTTTCTAATTAATTCATAAAGGTGAACATACTTTTCCTATGTATATGTTTTGCATGCCCATGAAAGAATAGCTCAGTGTTTAGAGACTTAGTTTGCATGTGACAGAGGCTAAAAAAGGTGAGTTTATGTGATTTGCATGGTGCCATAAATGTGCTTTAACATGCGTGTGTTCACTGCGAGGTTTAAATGTTTCACAGTTTGAGTTTGAGCCCCACAATGTACCCCTTCAGACCTTCAAAAACATCCAACATATTCCAAACTTTGAATGTTTGATTAGTTTTTGGTTTCAACTGTTTAAAAACTGAATTTCTTGAATGAAAATGAAAAAGAAAAGCTTTCTACTTCTTATCATTGCTAAAGATCATCAGATGTTCTTTAGAAAAGTGTGTGTGGACAAAATCAGCCGACCTGTTGAGGAAAATGCTGCTGACATCATCGTGGGTGATTGGTGGCTTCTTGGAGCTAGCGGCCATGCGCAGTGGCCTCAGGAAGTTGTTCACTAGGATATGAAGCTGCTGGACATACTCTGCCTCTGAATCCAACATGCTGAAGACCACCTGGTTCCTCTTCCTCATGCTCTCTGCATGAGGCGAGCGGATGTAGTCCTGGATGATGGTCTTCCACTTCCTCCTGCAAATCCAGCCCCGCAGAAAGCTCTGAACCTGCAGGAAACCAAACAATCCATCAGCATCTAAACATCGAACAAATGTGGAGTGAAACAAGTTGTTATTATAACCTTTTTGATCTTCTTGATTTCTGAGTCATCCTCGGTTGGGGCAGCAGCGGGGCTGGCGTGGATTTTCTCGTTGTCTTTGAGCAGCCCGGCAATCTGTCAGGGAAGCAGCAACAGTATGGACCAGTAATTCTCACCAGAGCTAATCTCTGCTTCTCACTTCTGTAGCAGTGTGTTAACAAAGTGACCCGGTTATCTGCACAGACCCTACGAGTGCCGTCATCACAGAAACACGAGCCGGACTAAATTAGCTCTGTTCACTTGGCTGCTAAATAACCATCATAAAATCTCAATTGTCACATCTTTTAAAGTGGTGAAAAATAATGAGCAGGTAAAAGATAGTTCTTTGAATGATCTCAGTTTATAAAAACACAGATCAGCTTTGACCAAACATGTGAGCCAAAGACTAATAAAGGCCAAAGTTCAACTTTTAACCTGCTGTTTTGTGGGACAATTATTTTGCACACACAAAGTGCTCCAGCTCACTGCTGTCACCATTAGCTCTTAAAAATGTCTATAAGATCCTGTGTAAAAACTTTGCAATGCAAAACTTACAACAGAAAAATAACATTTGTCTAGATGTTAATTTTAAATGATTTAAACTTATTTTCCCCACTCATTTGAATTCATTCTACTTTTCCAGTCCAAGCTATATGTAGAGGTTACAGGTCCTGGTGAGTAATTAAGAATTAAGATTAATTATCTCTCCAGTGAGTCCTGGGTCTCAGGGTCTCCTACCATGGAACGTGTCCCAAAAATCTCCAAAGGGAGATAGCTAGGAGTCATCCTATCTGATAACTACATCTCCCTGACTCCTTTGGATGTGGAGAATCAGTGACTGAACGTTTTAGAGGAGCTGACTCTACTCCTCAGTTCTGGCTTTGTTGTACACGGACCAGAAAACCTTTAAAAGTAAATATTGCATCCCATAATCCCCTAGCAGCTTCTAAATATTTGTTTTAGCTTATAATTGTGAATTGTTGTGTTTGCAAACAGGAAATGGGTTAAGAAATGAAACCTGGAGCTTCCCTGACTTGTTTTTAGTCCAAAGAACATCCTCTCACCTTGTTGCCACAGTTAAGATGAAGACGGTTAAGTGTCATTTTGTGTGGTAGATGAATTCTCAATATAAAAGAGAGAGATCATGCATTCATTTGATTATAAACATTGAATTTACAAAGTAAAGTAAAATGAGGTTTTGCTTCTGAGAGGAGATGCTAAGTGTAGCCTGGATTCGACTCCAAGATGGGGACAGGGTTTCTCTTTTGTTCTCTCATTCCAGATACAACAATCAGCAAAATCCCTGCCTCTCCACAGCTATTTATTAATGATGCTGACAAGTTGAGGCAAGAAAGAGACTTAAATAATTCTTGGAAAGAAATGAGAATGCAGAGTGAGAAGCAGCGGTATAATAGTCTCATTGTGCCAGAAAGTCTATTTACAGTAATCCTGACTAATATTCTGTGTTAGTCTGCAGCTGCATCACATTTACTTCTACCAGTTGCCCAAAAGCAAAAAGTAAATAAAACAGCTCACCACATGCATTTAATGGAAAGAGAAAAGGGGCCTATGTTCGGAAAGGAACATTGTTGTTGAAGGGCTTCAGAGGGGAAAAAGTTGTTTATCCCCAACTGATGTCTGAAAAGATACTACTGAAAGATTAAAATATGTTTCAGAATTTGTCTAGATGGAAAAAAAAACTATGGATCTGCTAGAAGGACGGGTCAAAAACATCATTTACAAAAAAAAACTAAACCTGAAAGAATTAGTGCTCAAATGTCATATTTTTAAAGGGGAAAATGACATCTGTTGAAAGATAAATGTATTCTTAAAAAGCAGGATATTTTTGTTTTAATGTCTTCTTTAGGGTAAGAAATTATCACAGCGATTTTTACCTCTGACTTCAGCCTTTCAATCTCTATTTCGCCATCTTCTATCTGTTGTCGAAGTTGCTTAGCAACTGTTTTCTCAGTCTCCACGATCTGAAGCAGATGAAGATACTTCTGCATGAGAGTCTCATGCTCAGTGGCCAAGTTTCTGTAACTGTATAACACGCACGCACGCACGCACGCACGCACGCACGCACGCACGCACGCACGCACGCACACACACACACACACACACACACACACACATACACATTGTTGCATAAATAATGCGTTCCTCATTTGTGCAGTTTGTCTCATGTTGGAGGACTCCAATGTGTTCCTCATCATATTTAAACCCTGCTGGTGAAACCATGGCAACACAGCTGACAGACTGAGCACCCCAGTCAAAGATTTCTTACCAACCAATTCAGCGTTTAATTTCCATGTCTGCAAATTACACCAAAGTGTGTCTTTACCTGGCATGTGATATCGCAGCCACCCATTCATCGCAGTCCTTTACATCTTCTGTGCGCAACTCAAGAGCCTTTTGGTTCTCCTGGGTGAAGCTGACTGTGAAGTAGTACTGAAAAGAAGGCGGGGAAAGGCTGATGAGTTCCAGAAGCTATCAGTGACCTGATCAATATGTTGCTGTATGAAACACAATTCTGCATCATGTTGATGAATCTGGACTGACTGAGGCGATGTCATTGTGTTTGTTTTTGTTGAGCTGCCTCACAGCTGCAGACACTGAGCGGGTGTTTGAGACCACACAGAGCCTTGGGAAGCCACATCTTCTTCGCCCAACAGTGCGGTTGATGGAGCACACAGAGGACGGCCTCCCCCAGCTCAGATTCTGGGATGGCTCTGGTTCCCAGGAGGAAATGCCATAAGACATGGAGGCTGGAGCCAAAAACATATCTGTGCTATACCTGTTTCCTAGCAACTCTGGTGAATGTGAACTGTTGTTTTTTCTGCCTGATGGTGACTAGAGAAATAAAGAGCTAAGTCTCTTGTTTTATGCTATGGATACAATGATTTACTTGCTTTGAAATAAATACCTTAAGTCTTTATTTCTGTGTTGTACCATTTTTGACATTTACTACTCTAACAGGTTGTGAGACCTTATTATAATATATTTATTTTACATTAATATAAAATAATGTTGTTATTGATATATTTAAACAATACACATTTGATTAGATCTACTTTAAATACTGAATTTCTTCAGTCTGTTTATCATTAAAGCTTAACAGTGAGTGAAAAAGTGATCAATTGTCAATTTTACTGCCTCATTATAAATTAAATCATGGGACAATAACTGAAATTTGTACAAGCTAAATGCATCATTTAATAATGCAAAGCAATTACAAAAGAGTTATTTATCTACCTTTTGATTCAACACTTTTATTTGTTATTGTTTATTTGTTTTCTGGATTTGGTTTTGTTGGGTTGCAGGTTCGAAGCCCCGCTGTGACCTTTCTGTGCATGGCTATCTTCCATTGTTTGATGCAAAAATTTGCTTTTTTTTCAACACAGGCTTTTTTGTCTCTTGCTAATTTTGATTTTGTGGAGTTTTTGAAAAGTCAGTAAGCTAAAATTTGCAAACCACATGGATGGCACATGACACGTGTCAAAAATGACACATCCATCATGCTCAGTCCAATCTGTGGCGAGCGTCCGTTCATAATTTTCTGTACAAATCTGTTCACAACCATCAATGCTCTTGCAGAACTACTTCTGCACGCAAACCTCTTTATGGAAGTTATGGCTCCAATAGCAGCTCTTCTCTGCTTTTATAGCAGCCCTCGTCCAAGTTTTGTTCATGTGACTAATCAGTAGAGTAGTTGTGTGTTTAAAATATTGGCTGAATGTTAAAGAAATGTATATTTTTTGTTGTTAACCTAAATAGGCATGATGTTAGACACTTTTATAAAAGCCTGCATTGATTCTAGTGTGATAAATACAAATTTGGTTCTATATTTTAAGCTCTTGTCACGTTAAATCAATAATAAACAGCACAACTCTGCCACCTGCAGACATAGATGAGTCTTTTATAATATGTATACACGTTGGACATTTTAGGCTTCAGCTAATCAGAAAATGTCTGCAATAAAAATCTTTCAGGAACAAGAAAAAACTTGTTGATCATGGTACATGACGCTTAAAAATGTGGTGAACAAAGGTCTTATTAAATAAACTAATGCAAAGGCATCTCTTCATTCTCCTGTTTTGATGAGCACCCTAACATCCATCCCAGTGTGTTTTCAGCTGAGGGTAAAAGAGTATGTTTCCAACATAGCGAGTTATTGTGTTAAATCAGTGTTTCTCAACCCTGGTTCTCAGTGCCCCCTGTCCTGCAAGTTTTCCATGTCTCTGCTACAGCATACCTGGTTTGCATATCTGCATCTTTAGGATGGCATCATGTGCTGCAGAAGCCTGTTAATCGCTCATTAATTTAAGTCAGGTGACGGCATAGAAACAATGCTGTTGGAAATGGCAACATAGAAAAACATGCAGGGCAGGGGGATGCTGAGGACCAGATTTGAGAAACACTGTGTTAAAAAAATGTAAAAATAAAAATTGTTTGTTCAGTTATTTTCCATAATGAAGTAGCTCTTAGATGCTGTGCCATCAGACTTTTTAACGTTTAGATTAGGACCAAATGTGAGACTGTTAGCTGAGTGCTTCTGCTCATTGTGCAAAAAGTAATAAACTTCTGTCAGTAAGATTGCCACTAAGAAATAAACAGCTTTGATGCATCATTGCAAACCATTTTCTGCAGCACCAAATGGCTTTATTTCAGAATTTTTTAACACCAATCCTTTTACTAATGCAGCCACGTGTGTTATTCTGCTGCTGCATATCTCGGCTGAGCAGCTCCTTGTGTTTTGTGGTTGAAACCGAGCCGTTACCCGATGACAACAAGCTGCATTTTCTATAATTGGGCTCTGACCCCTCTGAGGTACCATGAGAAAATAAATTTAACTCATTAATAAGAGAGACGCGATGCACTGACTCTCTCTATCATCACGCCTCTTCCAACTGCATCATTCTTTAGGATGCAAAACAGGGTTGCCATAGAAACCTTAGGCTCAAGCATTATCGTTTCCACTGAATTCAGGACATTATGTATTTTTCTATTTCACCAATGCTAGAAAGAGTAGGAAGATATTTTTGTATTTAAGATGTTTAAGCATCACTCACTCAGCAATGTGGCAAAACGAGTGTTAAAAAGGATCAAGGCAGCAGATCTGTAGATTAATATTTATGTGGAAACATTTAAAGCAGCTTATTACAGAATCATAATAATTTTAGAAGAATTTTACACATATTTCAGCCAAACATTTTGGACGCTTTTAACTTTTAGAGCACTGATAGTCAGTTTGTTGCATTCTGCCTTGTCAGCACAAGGGCAGCTGTTCACAGCAAGAGTCTGGTCTCAGTTTGGATGGCAGCCTTACCTTCAGAGCAGCAGAGGAAGTGTCTCAGTGGAGCATTATGTTCACTACATCTATTCACAATAACAAGCCACGCTTTTTCCAGATTAGTGTGTTTTTAACGAAGGAATCCAAACAAAAGGAAGCAGAAAAAAATCTTCTTTCTATTTATTTCTACGTGAGTGTGACCTCCAGCACAACACTTCAGACTGGATCACTTGATTCAGGTCATCTAGATTAGAGTTGACTGATCACTGCCCCCTTTTGCTGTATCCTGAGGCTCAGCTGTAAATATGATCCTAACCACAAGATGGAAACCTTGAAGCTACAACTTTTTTTAATTCCTTGTCTTATTTGGGAGTACATTAGATAGGTTCCAGCACTCTCTGCACCAAAAGGCACGATGTCTGAATGCCAAGAGCAAACAAATATATCCACAGATCACTGAAAAGAATATGGAGTGTCTGCTGCAACACCGTGAGGTGTTTTCATTCTTATCTAATCATTGAACGCATGCATGAATTACATAATACATGATTACACGATTTCTGCTGCATTGAGTTTGAGGTCACGCGAGATGTGCATCTTTCTGGAAAATTAAGACTTTAGTGATATTTGTGGCTCAGGGGCTAATTTTATATCTCGTTATGCACCTTATGTTCTGCAGAAAAGGAGCGGAACGCGCGTGGATGTGAGCGCGCGCGCATTGCTTACCTGCTTTTCTAAACACTCCTTGGCTGACAGTGAAGGTTTGGGTGAAGGCGCCCTGTCGCATATGCATCCCTCCAACAAGTACAATCCCGAAGGTCGCGAGCTGGACTCGTTCTCAAAATAGAAAAGCATATTCTGCAGCAAGGCGAACCACTTTGTGTGCCATTTCGTGTTGTCGGAGCTCTTTTTACTCAAGCACCCGCGTCTCGTACCATCCTTCTTAGCCAAAAGCCCCAGATAGGTGACATGACCATCATTGAGTCGTATTCCCTTCTGCATGCTTGATTTGGACGCACAAAGGCAGGATCGGTCGTTACATCCTCCTGAAGTCAAATAAAGAAAGACAAGATGTTGACTTTCTCAATGCGGACCTCGGGCAGCTCGGTCCGACGCATTCACCGCGTTGGTATTCGGCTAAAAACAGAGTTGCAAAGCCTCGAACACCAGCCCAGCATCCTAAAATCTTTTGTCATACTCCCAGCGCGACTAAGGTCCACATTATCCGTTCTGTGATGAGAAAAGAGAGAAAAAAATAGGAAAGGATGGAGAAACAAACGCAAGATAAGAGAAAAAAGGGGGGGGGGGGGGGGGGGGGGGTTGAGGTCCGTTTCTCACATGAAATCTCCAGAACCCAGAAGGCTTGGTGCTGAGCTAGGCAGAGCTGGGTGAAGTCACATGACGCATGCTTGGGAAAACAGATTTCAGCACCTTGGAGAGTTCCGCTTTAACAAGGTGCAAAAGAAGTTCTGTTTCCCGAAAATGATCCGGGAAAAGAAGAGGGAAGTAGAAAAAGAAAGTAACCATCCTAAACATCAATGGTAACCTGCGTTTTTCATGGATTTTTTAAATTGAAGTTTAGTAGAAACATTGCTTAATTTTAAACTGAAATCCAATAAAGTTCAACATTTCTGCCATTTCCCCCATTTATAAGATAACGGGTTACTTTTATTAAAATGAAACGAAAGTAAAATTTTATATATTTTTTTCAAATATACAAACTACATAGACAGAGGAAGTGTCTCAGTTTGTATATGGTTTGTAATTTTTTTTTAATCTGGGAATAAATCATTCATTAGGTAATCATTTTGTCACAAATCTCAGAAGTTCAAACCATAAATGCTGGATTGCGATTTTATTACAATTCTGACAAAAACAGACAACATTACAGTGTTTTTGCAGAGCTCAGCATTGGACTCTTCCAGAAAAAAGATCTGGAATTTTTCTTCTGCATGAGTGATGAGGACAAAATCAGTGACCAAGACTGCACAAAACTACACAAAAAAGAACAATCACACTTAGTTGACAGTGAAAAGGAAAACACCAAGCTGTCAGATCTGCTCTGAGCAAATGACTCATGCACACACATGCATGCACGCACACATTGGCATGGTCTAATGCAAATATGTTATTTAAAGCGACTCCTAAAGTTATGTGGAAACACAATTAAATAGTTTAACTCTCTTATGTGGAACAACCAGACTGAAATAAATTCAACATTCTATGATGAGGGGAATTTTTTTTTAAATGCACAAAACATTATTTGAATTTCACAGTTCTGACCATTCTACCTTTAGATTCATGTCAAAGAATGTATATCAGCATTACTGAACCACCAACATCACCTACCATCTGCACAGATGTATGCTTTTGTGTAAATAGAAACCCAATACTGCAGAGGAGTGCTTGGAAGTAGAAAGGGAAAAAGATTATTTCATTTAAATTCAAACTGAGGATGCTGCCAGGGAAGATGTCTGCAAACATAAACTCCATCCTGACCTATGTGGCCAAAAATAAAAACAAGACTTGATGAGAGCAATCCAAGAAAAGGTGCACATATTAAAACAAACGACAACTGAAAACCTGAAAGGATACAAACAGGACGTGATGAGTAAAACAATAACAGGGAGGAAGACAAGAACAGGAGACACACATATAAATAATGCTTTTATTTTTAAAGTCAAAGTTAAAGTCATTATCACACTAGTGAAATTACATTTCCGCATTTGACCCATCTCCATGGGGAGTAGTGAGCTGCAGCTGTGGCTGTGCTCGGGAACTATTTGGTGGTTCAACCCCCCAATCCAACCTCTTAAAGCTGAGCGTCAAACAGGGAGGCATTGGATCCCATTTTTAAAGTCTTTGGTATGACCCAAACGGGATTTGAACCCCAATCACCCAGTCCCAGGGCAGTGACTCTACCACTACACCACTGTGAAGGTTATTTTTATGTTGATGCTTATTGATTTTTATGTAACCATCATCTAAATACACCTCATTTGTATTTGATTTAATTATTATTGTACAACAACATATTATTTTATTCAATCAATTATCTGCATACCTTGGCTGGTTATTTGAGTTACTGTTGCCTTTCTATCAGCTTGTATCAGTCTGGCCATTCTCCTCCGACATCAACAAGGCATTTTCACCCACATAACTGCCACTCACTGGATATTTTCCCTTTGTTGGACCATCCTCTGTAGACCGTAGAGCTGGTTGTCCCATTGTGAGTGTGACAATCCCAGAAGATCAGCAGTTTCTGAAATACTCAGACCAGCCAGTCTGGCATCAACCACCATGCCACGTTCTAAGTCATTAAAATCACCTTTCTTCCTCATTATGAAGCTCGGTTTGAACTGCAGCTGATCATCTATGTCAACATGCCTAAATACATTGAGTTGCCATCATGTGATTGGCTGATTTGTAATTTGCGCAAACGAGCAGTTGAACAGGTGTAACCAATAAAGTGGCCGGGGAGTGTAGATAGAGCTGCTCTGTAAATTCACGTGAGAAATTATAGAGGCCTATGTCTCGGTGGCTGTGGAGCAATACAGTAAAACACTCATTTACTTTTTCAGCACCTAATTTGCCTAAAGGGTGTGCACTCTTATCTGTTGCTGTCATAGATTTCCTGGAAAAAAGTGTGTTCACTTTAAAAAATTCTCATCTGTGCTTCCATCCTCCTTTTTCTTCTGTGTAGCTTTTTCAACAATTCCCCTCATTCACCTAATGCTCTCAGTGAACCCCTGTAGGCTGAGACAAAAAGCTGGATCACAGCTTGATCATGAGTCGATCCAGTGTTTGACTCAACCAACTAAAGATTCCCTGTTTTGAATAGATTTACATAAACAAGATTGTGGGATAGTAACACTGAGGGTTTTGTGTTTGAGTTGTGCTGCAGCAACAGTTCAGCTGAGCTGTTGATCACAACACATTCACCATTGACTATTACACAGCTGACCAAATTATTGAATTTTGTTGATTGAAGAAGAAGCAAGAGATCCCGGGGGGGGGGGGGGGGGGGTGCAATTGTATTAACTACACTTCTGTCATCTCAGCTCTCCCTGCTTTTGTTTGAAATTTGGAATAGTAAAAATAACATTTGGCTAATTAAACCAGTAACGACCTGTTTGGATAAAACTAAACTTCACATAATCCACTGATGGAAAAAGGTCATAAAATTCTGGTTTGTGCTACAACTTGTTGCATAGAGAACGATCATCTCAACCTGGAATCATACTTCTATTCAAAAATCGTCTTTACATTCGTTACAAAAGTCTCATGAAGCACAGGAAGGATTATAATCCAACTCCTGATTTATTGAGCTAAAATTAAAAGTTTTACTTATTCCCAAAAACACACCCTTAGTGCTAAAAAATGGAGCAAAATCTTGAAAGGTTGCATGAAACTGCACCTTATTTTAAAGGTTTCACCAAGATGGCAAAAAAAGATATATCAATCTCAAAATTATCTTTTAAAATCTTTGACAAGTAAAAGTACAAATATTAAAATTACTCATTGACAGTAAATCCATGATTTCCCTGGATTATCCCTGAAGTAGAAAATGCAGGATGCTTTTTAAAACAGTTACAATAATTTAAATAAAAATAATTTATAATCACATAAAAAGTCGTGTTAAAACAATTTTGAAAAGCAACTAATTCCGATTCATATTAAAAGATTAGAAATGTAATTCTCATGGAATGGTACTAAAATGTTAAACTTGATGTTTTGAAACAGCTGTGATATATTTGTGGCATCTGTTTTTGGGATAATAATCGATTTGGCTTCACTGCAAACCTCGTTTGACCTGAGAGGATGTCCGCAAGCAGATATGTGCATCGTTTGTGCATCAGGAGGAGTTTCTGTGTGTGTGTGTGTGTGTGTGTGTGTGTGTGTGTGTGTGTGTGTGTGTGTGTGTGTGTGTGCGTGTGTGCATTTGATTGTTCTCTCCACGTTTGTGGAGTCCTGCTGTAGCGTCCTCGCCCTTCCCCAAGCCGCCAATCAAAACGCTCTAATTCTAATTACATGATTCACCAGGCTCCTAATTCGCCATACTCATCTCAAATGACATTTACGAATTACTCCCTCCTTTTTATAGAAACAGCTTTCTGGATTTTATCCAACGTCACCGTCATCTCATCACCACCACCACCTTCCTCCCCCACCCGTCATACACATTGTCATGTAGGAACAAACCAGTTTGGATGTTGTCTGTTGTGGCAGTCACAATTTATTTGATTGAAAAAGTCACCAAACAAACCTCCTAAATAAATTTAAATGATGATTTATGAAATAATCTAAATGACAGTTTTTCACTGTGATGAATTTAACTAGCTTGCCCTTGCGTGATGAAGTGGAAACCAAATTTTGAAAAAGCTTATTTTTATTCAACAGTCATGTTATAGGCAAGAAGAAAGAAAAAGCATGCAGCATTCACCTGGTGACTTTAGTGTAAAGCACTTTGGATTCTTTGACTTGGCAAAGCAATAAACACGTGCAGATTGTTACATGCCAGTCAGGCAGGGTATGTGTTTCTCCCTTCGTGTTTCCTCGTTCTCTCTCCTCTCCCTGTCCCATTTTACACAGGGTGCAGAGACTAGGTGTGGCTGATTAACTTCACCTTGGACCAATTGTGGAGCAGGGCAGAGGATAAAAGGAGGCTTCCCTGAAGAGCAGAGAGACTCTTCCTCCCACATGCTGCTGCTTGATGAACCCATCTGTGTTCTGGAGCTGCTTTTGTTTGAAGGCTTGGTGGAGGGACTGGGGACCAGGGGGATCCCTGTACATCTCATCACGTAGTGGAAACTTGTTAAAAACTTGTTTTATATTCATTCTTTTGGCACCACCTACCTGTCCCTGTCTCCCCCTCCTCCACAGTGGTACCTGCAGCATCCACATAAACAGAACAGCAATAAAAAAGCTCTGATAAACTGAAGTTTGTGTGTGGAGTGTCATTCCTTATGGTTGCCCAGTTATTACCTTCTCACCTTCCTGACCTGGAAGGACGGGTGGGGAGTGGGGGTCTGTAACAAGATCATTTACCGCTTCAAACATCAGATGGGGTGCAGAAGGTTTATGTTAACCACATGCTGTAGATAATGTCTTATAACTGACGTTAGCGATGGGTACCGAATTCGGTACTTTTTAAGGTACCGACCGAATTCCACAGTACCGACCGAGCACCGATTCACGTCATTTGAAACGGTGCCTCGTTTCGGTACCCGTCCTTCATAACGAGAACTTGCCTAGACAGCTGCGCATGCGCAAGAGCGTTATGTCGTCGCTCGC